TACACAGAAATACACATGCACCAATATGGACCATCCAACGTGTCTTCAACGATGGGAGCTCACTGCAAGAATTCAAGGAATTAGAAAGTAATATGCTCTTCTTGGTGCTCTTGAGAGCATTGTCTTCCCATGTTCCAGATTTTCTGAAACAGGTGAGTCAGTGGCTTGATTGCCTCAACTTCTCTATTCCCCTCAGTATAACTGTTAGCTTGCTTTATTAATACCCCCAATGACCGAAGTCTGCTACAAGACAGAGGTCACACTTTTATCTCATTAGTCATACATATTGCATGCTATGACTGTACTCTGTCAGTTAAAGTGAAGAAGTTGTGGGAAATGTACAAGTGTAAGAGTACTAGGAGTCATAGATTCTTGAGGCTTTGAAGCTATCTATCAGTTAAGTGATAGCTATGTATTTAGCTTTATTTCATATTTCCAAGTTGGGTTTTTTTGTTTTTTTTGTTTTTTTTTTTTTTTGAGACAGAGTTTCTCTATGTAGCTTTGGAGCCTTTCCTGGAACTCACTCTGTAGCCCAGACTGGCATTGAACTCACAGATATCAGTCTGGCTCTGCCTCCCAAGTACTGGGATTAAAGGCGTGCGCCACCACTGCCCGGCTCCAAGAGGGTTTTTTAAAGGGGCTTTCTATTAATTTTTCTCTCCTATCAGCAGTGAATAAAAATACTTTATTATAAATGCTTTTAAATTTAGTTGTAGTAGGAGGTGTGTACATGTGAGGTGTTTATTAATACCTCTCATATCTTCCAGCAATGTTCTGTGTATAGTTCTGTGTATGTGATGCATGTGTGTGCATACGTGTGTGTGTGTGTGTGTGTGTGTGTGTGTGTGTGTGTGTGTGTGTAGGCCAGGGTTCTACAACAAGTGTTTTCCTTTTTATTGTTAATATCTATCATCTATCTATCTATCTATCTATCTATCTATCTATCCATCCATCCATCCATCCATCCATCCATCCATCCACCCCCCCCCCATGCATCCATCCATCCATCAAGCCATCCATCTATATTTGAGACAGGGTCTCTCATTGAATCTGGAACTCATGGAATGGCTAGACCTCTCAGAACCCACCTGTCTTCCTCTCCATTGCTAGGATTACAGGAGTGTGTTGCCACAACAGAGTGTTTAAATGGATGCTGGTATCTGAACTCAGGTCTCTATGATTGCGGAGCAAGCATATTATTTGCTAAGGTATCTCCTATTTCCATGTTCATAGTTTTCAGTATAGTTGTCTTGTACAAGTTTTGTTATATTTATCAATGGATGTTTGATACTACTGCAGATTTTCCCAGCTCACTGTTAGAATGTAGGAACCTTTTAGACATTTTATTAGCCTATTAATATTCATATATTTATGTAATATATTTTGCGTACAACACATTCTTTTAGTATTTTTAGTGAGTTATCCTGCCTTTAATTATTTATTGTCATTATCACTTAAGGAAAACAGAACTCCATAGCACTTTAATCCTTTCCTAGACTATTATGAGATTTTAATTACACATAAAATACATTTCTTGCATATGTAGTCATACTACATTTCATTAAAGCAAGAATTATTTTATATTGGCATATCACTTCTATCCCTTCACTTCTTCCTATGACTCCATACTCTTATATAGGTCACTTATTTTGCCTTTATGACGGAAGCAAGTTTTTATTTTTAATAGCAATCATTTTCTTACATACAATATATTTTTCATACACTATATCTCCTCCCAGATCCTTTCCACCTCTCTACTCATCAAACTCTATGCCTTCATTTTCTCTCTCTCTCTCTAGAAACAAAGAAGCAAATAAAACAAACAAACCAAAGAAAAAATCCAAAGAAAAAGCATAGGAAACAAATACACAGAAGACATAGAAAACAAAACCCCATAAAGACACAGAACCAGAAACCATAATATGCAAACAAAAATACAAAAATACAAAAATCTACAAAACTACCATTGAGTTTGTTTCGTGCCGGCCATCTCCTGCTGGGCATTAGGCCTGCCCTTAAATGGTTTAATATATCTAGTGAGACTCCATTAAAGAAAAGATTTTTTCCTTTGCTAGCAGCTATCAAGAAACAAGCAGCCCCTTGGTTAGAGATGGGAGCTCCTATCTACTTCTCCATGTTGTGACCCCATCAGGCTTGGACCTGTGCAGGCCCTGTGTATGCTACCAAAATCTCTGTGAGTTTATATGTGTATCAGTCCTTGTGTCTCTTACAATCTTTCTCCCTCCCTTCCAGAGAGTTCCTTGAGCTCCGAGGTGAGGAAATTGATGAAGACATCCCATTTAGGACTGAGTATTCCAAAGTCTCTCACTTTGTATATTGTCCAGTTGTGGGTCTCTGTGTTAGTTCCCATCTATCATAGGAAGAAGTTTCTCTGATGGTGGCTGAGTGAAACACTGATTTATGGGTACAGCAGAATGTTATTAGGAGACATTTTATTGTTATGTACCTTTGGCAGACTCATAGTATTTAGTTTTCAGTTATGCCCATGGCCTATCTAGTTTCAGGTTCTTGGTCACGAGCAGTGTCAGGATGGGTTCCATCTCATAGAGTGGGCCTTAAATCCAGTCAGATATTGGTTGGTGACTCCCATGTTTGTGCCATTATTGCTCCAGCATAGAATGCAGGCAGGTCACTGTTGCAGATTGGAGGGTTTTGAGTTGGGTTGGTTTTTACCTTTCTCCTCTAGTAGTATGCAAAGTACCTTTTAGTACCATGAACACAAGTCACTACATTTTCTGCACAGAATGAGTCAAATATGTATTCTATACAGAACTCAAAAATGCTCCAAAGCAAAAAATGTACCCCAAATTAGCTCTTCTATGAAGGCCCCCTCTCCCACCTGGATTCTAATCTTTGTGATTCTCATTGCATTCACAGGTTTTCAATATATATTTTTAAAAGCCCTTCAGTGCACCCCTTTTCCATCTGTAACAGTGAATATTTTGCCTCTGTACCAGATCCAATTTTGGGATATTGATTTCTAATGATGTGTTATGGATGTTCAAAGAACTTACCAGCTAAGAATTCAGTGGCTTCCTTTAAGTTATATTATAGATTGGCATACATACATTCATCACTGATAGCTTTTTGTTACTCAACCAATATAGTTTCCTTTTCCCTCATTCACTGTGGCCTTGAAATTTAGTGTCATGAAAAATGTTCCAGTAGCTTGCTTTTCATTCATTATTTCCTGGTCATGTTGCTGCTTTAACCATTATTTCCTCAAATGTATTTTATAGGCAAACTGATGGACCTTTATATTTCCAATTAAACAAATACTTATTTGAAGAGTAAATATTGTTAAAATGAGAAATTAAACCTCTAGTAATTAGGTTTAATCGATTCAGATACTTTGTAATTTTGCTAATTAGTCATTCCTTAACATCTTTGCAATATTGTGTCTTTTTGTTTGCCCTTCTCTCATCACTGGTCTTCTCTTCTGATTGCCTTAAAATGATACTTTTTGTTTTTGTTATACTTGCTTAAACCTAAGATTCCTAATGTTTATTTCAGCAGATTAACATCTTAAACTTTGTCAGTGTTTTGAGTAAACAAACCATCAGCAAGCTCTCTTATTTCTTTGGACCTTCTTTGCACTATGATGGCTAATCTTACCTACTTGAAGGAAATAATTATGGGGCCCCCTGAATATTGGTGAGACCATACTGGATTGATGAAAAGGGGAATGAAAGAGTCCATAATGTGTAAGCATTCTCTCCCACTGCTCCCTGGCCCCAATGATTTTGCTCAGGCATGCCCACTTTGCCATGGTGGGCTGAAACTTCAGAAATCCCAAGCCAAGATCAATCCTTTCTCTCTTGTTCTTCCTCAGGCATTTGTCCTTGTGGCAAAAGAGTGGCCAGCACCCTCCTTTTCTGCTTCTCATTAACACTATATACATTCCTAATTCTTGTATTTAGCATTCTTAAATTTACCCATTGGTCACTGGTTTGGAAGAGGGTGTGTATGTGATTATCCGTGTAAGTGGTGTTCAGTAAACAACTGGATCCATGGATTGGAGACTTGAAACTTTGTTTCTCTCCCAAGGTCAGCCATCTGGCCTGCCATGATGCAGCAATATCTGCACCATAGTCAGAAGTGGGCTTGTTGTAGCCAGAAAACTTCCTGAGACATTTCTTCTTTGTTAGAAAGTAACCAAAGAAACTCCTGATCACTGAAATAGTTCTCTGCTGTCTGTTATCCACAAGGTAATCAGCTCTTTTGATCTCTGGGACTGCTAGCAAAATCTATCTCCTCATTCATGTTAAAAGTTTTGCTTAGTCACTTTTTCGATAACCCCAACTAAAGGTACAGAAGAGATAAAAGTACAGATGACTAACTTCTAATCACTGAAGTCTTTAAGAAAGGATAAAGTACAAGGATTTTTTTTGAGATCCACTTTATTCAAAGCAGAACTAGAAAGGCACCAAATTCTTATAGAACATAAATTCCTTTTGATGGGAAATATCTACTTCATTATAAACACAGAAATGTTTTTGATGAAGTGTGTTTTAAAGAATTTGTTTTAGATATAGCCTTGAGACCTTTTCAAATTATCTTTTGCTATATCCCTGCTAGCAGTAAATGAGCAAGGTAGTACAGTAGTGCAAGTTTAAGCTTAGTTTTCATTTTAACTTATCCCAGAGTATCATTTCTTTTAGGTTATCTCTGCATAAGCATTAGTGTTAAATCTAACTATTTGTTTGCTGTTAAGACATCACTGATATTCAAGTTGCATTTACCCATTACAGCTTAAGCCTTGTGTTTATTCTAACAACTAAGTCTATATACTAAGCACCTGAAATTGTTCTGTGCAATATAAATATATCAACTCTTTAAAAAAACCTTAAGAAGGAATAATTTGCATACAAGGAGACTGAGGAAACAAGGTAAACAATTTACACTATGTGATAGTTGGGGTGATAACTTGGATTTGAACCTGAACAGATGCAGAAGTAAACTTTATATAAAATTCCAAGTTTGAGTTTAGTGTTTTTATTTTCTTATTTTGGCTTCTGTCACCAACAGTTAAGAATATATCATTACCAGGAATTACTTTATAATGTATACTTTTCAAAGGTAACTTCTAACAAATTACACATCAGCTCATTCATTTCATTCTGTAGGCAGACCTGTTATATACAAAACTTTGCATTTCATTTTAACATCAAAAGGCAATCAGGTTGAAAGTTTTCAAAATTAACAATTTAATAATGCATATTTAGAAATGTGCTACACACAAACAGCACAGTAATATAAAATGCATACAATTTTGAACTACTTTTTAATGAACCCCTTAATATGGATGGGTTAAGTTTTGATAGTTACCAGATATTTTGAGGGCTCATTTTAAATATCATTTGGTCATGCAAATAAAAAAATAAATATGACAAATATATGGATTTTTGAAGTATAAATTGACATACAAATCTATATATTCTTAATAGTTTTCATTAAAGCATCTTTGAAGAAGCATTCCATAACATAAAGTTGAGAACTTGGATGTAAAGAAAAGGCATGAGGTTTTATTAGGAGTGTGTAATTCACAAATGAAATACTTACATAACAGCAAACACAAAGTTGTTAAACAAAGTGATATATTTAGTTACTTTACTCTCTAAGTCATTGACTTTAGAAAATCACACACTGGGACTGGGCAAAGATGTGCATGCCAGTGGCCCAGTCCCACAGGAGCTGGGGCAGGATCACTTGAGCCTTTGGGTTCAAGACCTGTTTGGGCAACATTATAAGGGCCAGCCTCAAAAACGAGGGGTTGGTAGGCAGGGCTACTCACTAGAAAAATTAGAAAATTCCCAATTGCAAATATTAACAGGGAAACACAAACAACTACAGGAGAAATCTAGAATTAAACTCTACTTTCTGAGAAGTCGTGAAGGAGTGATGGAACACGGCTCCTTGAAGATTGTCAAAGCTTTGCTTAGGACTTCTGCGGAGAAGGGTTGTAAAACATTGAAATTAAAACTCTATTCTTCTATCCGCACACACACCTGTGATAAGTCTTGTTTTCTTGATTCAGATGTCCAAAGTGCTAAACCACAGGATAGTAAATTGGGCTTAAAAATGTTCACATTCCTACTTCTTCAAAAGACAGCTCTGAGGCAGCTGGGGGAATATCCATTACCTTTTCTCATCTGAATAGCTTAAATAAAATTTAATGCATATGAGAAATATTAATTTAATCATAAGCAAGCTTGATAGAATTTACTATTTTAATTTTCATGGAAAATATACTACTTAAACATATTCTTTTTTGGGATTTAAGCCATCAAAACTTAATTGGGTTGCATTATTAATTTACAAAGTTAACACAGGAGAAATAAAGAAACTTTCCTGAACTAATTTAGACCAGTAGCCCTAACTCTAAGTAAAAATCAGAATCACCCAAAAAAGTTTAGGAAAAACTGAAGTCTGGTTCAATTTCCTAGAAATTACATTTTAATTGTTATGGGATGGGTGGGAAAGTTCCCATATGATTCTACAATGAAATGAGGCTGAGTATCATTGATTGGTAATAATGAATAATTGCTACTCAAGATGGATTTGATTTAAATAAATTAAAATTCAAGTAAGAGTACTTTCTTTGTGGCAGACATTATAATGAGGGCTAATAAAAGGATTTTTTTCCTATAAAAATTACTGGGTAATATTAATATTTATCCTCATCACTCGACTAGCTATATAAATTTACTAAAATAGTCCTCAAACTTTTATCCTGTTTGCTGTCATAAAAGTTTCCTTTCACTTTACTTACTAGACTGTTCTCCACTTGGAATTTTAACTGTAGTGATTACAAGCAAAACCTTTTTCTAGAGATATATGGAGCCTAACAACTTCATTTTCAAGTCATAGTATATGAGGTATTCTCCACTTCATATCTGAAGTCACAAAGCTATACTCTAAGAACTGAAATGAGATACTGCTTTGATGTTTAACAAAATCTCCTGGGTCAAGAATTAACACCCACTGGCATCAGTGCTGGCATTAAATTATCTTAAAAAAAAAATCTATGTCAGATCCTCTGGGAAACTAAAAGGAATGGGTCTTTAATGCAGAACATGTTTCTTGTGACCTATTTATAAAAGATTTCTTAGAAAACATTACAGAAGCATGGTTTCTAAGTCATATATAATTAGAGATTAGTTAACTCAAGGGAACTAACAATTTAAACTAAAAGTTTACAATTTTTATGAAAGATCAGTAGTTAAAATAAATAATAAAATATATACCACAATATAATTAAGAATTTAGTGTTTAAAAATAAATGTCACATTGTTTTGTGTTCAGTCAAACAGACTGACTGTAGTGGCTTAGATATCTAAGAATGATGAAGGTGTGACTTGAGACACAGAAAACCGATTTAAGGCCAGAGAGACTAAAATGAAAGAGATTACTATGATTACTCTAAAGCTTAGAGTTAGAATGACTGGGACTTTTCAGTATGACAATACGTCAAGAAGCAGAACACTTTGGAGAGCAAAAGTCAATGAATAGTCATGATTATGTAGCTCATATTAGAATACTGTGTGAAACAGAAAATACAGTATTAGTGAGCACCACTAGGAATATGCATAAAACTTTACCTGCCTAATGACTGTATTTTAGAGTGAAGTTAAGGACAAGTACGCAGTTACGTAAATGCATTCCTAAGCTAATGTGTCATAATTTATATGTTATATGAGTGATGTATGATTTATTCTTTCTAAACCTCAAAGAACACATAAACAGTATGCACTTGTAGTACAATGTCCCTTGGTTTAAGAGAAGAATTACTGAAGAAAAAAGAATGGCTTCAATGAATATCAATCCATTGCTGGATCCAAGAGTTTAAACAAAAAAAAAGGAGAGGAGAGCTCATAAATGAGAATTCACAAAACCCAGGACATACTGGACTAATCTCCAAAGGTTCCTCCTTGATATCCCATATTATTTCAATTCAGATTAGTAGATGGATCTGATAGCCCATCCACTCCTGTTCCCCCACCTCAAAAAAAAATCCCACACCCTTTTCTTTCTCTAATAAAAGTTTCAAGTTTGTCACCTGGCATTTAAGATTTCTCCTGTAGTCACCAAATTTGTGCCATATCTTATAAAACATATATCATGGGGCAGATACGTCTCCAATGAAAATCTTGTTTTGACCCCATGTAGAGGATCTTAGTTTCTGAAAAAAACAGTACGTATTCTTGACATTTTTCAGTTTCCAGTATGAGCAAACGCATGATATAGACTGAAGGTCTTTGATACCACTTTGATACCATGATAGAGAATAGTATTATTCTCCATTCAAAATACGTTCAATCTCTTCTAGTCTTTTCAAAGCAGCAACTCTTTTCTTCTCAATTTCTTTGATGTCTTTTGTTGTTTTATGGGGGGCCTCTTTGTCTGCACTTTTTGTTGATTGCTTGTTGGATTTCGAGTTTTTTTGATCATTTGTTTTCATGATTTGTTCTGGTCTGGGTTCACTTCTGATTTCTTTTACATCCTCAGAAGGGATTTCATCTCTTTCTTCCACACTGGAAGTCTTATCACCTGGAGACACTGGCTGCTCCACAATACCAGAAGAGGCAATTTTATCCCTGACTATACTCAAATGGCGTTGAATATATTCCTCATGAGGTGCTAACGCCAATGTTTCCACCAGGCATCGTTCAGCTTTCAGCAAGTCCTTCTCTTCAAAGTACACCACACAAAGGTTGTGCTTTCCTTGCACATTGCTTGGATCCATTTCCAATATCTTTTCAAAGCACTTTTTGGCTCCAGGTATATCCTTCTTTTGGTTCATCAGAATATCTCCTTTTAAAATGAGACCCTTGGTATGGTCAGGGTAGTATCTGAGCAGCTCTTCTAAAATTGGCAACGCCTTTAACTCCTTAGCAGTCTGCGAATACAGTAGAGCCAGGTTAAACAGAGCACTTCTGAAGTCAGCTTGTAATTTGATGGCTTTCTTCATCCAGATCTCAGCTTCAGAATCCTTTTTGTCATCCATGGCAAGCATGCCCAAGTTGAAATAGCCATTAGCATCTTGTGGCTCTTCATTTATGTAGTTTAGAAGCCGTTTTCTAGCTTCAGGTCTGAGTTTAGCTTCACCTAGAAGTAATTTTATTTAAAGGAGATAAATTATCAGTGAATCAACCATTTTCAGGTGCTGTTATATTACAAAATACAGCAACAAAGCAACTTATTTCTGTATGTAAATAAAAAAGTAGAAATCAAACTTTATAGGAAAGATAATGAGCTTGAAACACTCAAGTGATAAGTTTGTTTCCTTGTCATTCAGAACTGTGGAAGCCAGGAGAAATTTCTTTAGTCTGGAATCTAATAGGGCATTACAGGAAGAATAGGTAAGAGTTTAAGACATAGGATTTTCAAAGATGTGTATTCAAGCACAGTTCTGTTAGTATTTTGAGTTTATACACCAAACAAGTTCTTTAATTTCTCTTGGTTAATTTACTGAATTTTCTAAGAATTACAGGGTGTGTATGTACATGTACATATACACTATATATAAAAAGCTCAGCAAATATTACAATAACTATAAATTTCCAAGTTGGAGTTTTTGGTGTGTGAGCTCAAAAAATTTAGGAAGCTTCATGGTAAAAATACACTATTAAGTATAAAACTATAAAATGAGGTTTTGAAAATCAAATACCAACATAATTTTTAGTAGAATTTTTAAAAGTTCTTCATACATTTAGATGAGAACTTGTGTTGGATAATAAGCAATCCTCATAATTAAGGTTCTAAAACTACTAGTTTTTAGATTTGTACCTTTAAAATATCAACCATAAAGACCTCTTTATATTGTTTTAATTGACTATGATTAATGAAGAAATTATGAAAATAAATCAAAAGGCTCAGCTCTTAGATAAGTTCCTATCCATTAGCTATATGAATTTGGGGTACTCATTAGGTCTTTTTGGCCTCATTCTCTAGCCTATCAAATACAAGATTTGGGAAAGCAAAGTCCACTTAAGTTATAAGATATTTCTAATTTTGTGTTTCTTTTACTTCTGCAAAAGTTTAAAGAAATATATTCAACACATAAGTAGACATAAAGGAGATATTTTCAACATAAAAATTAATATTATAAATCATTTATGCTGTCTTATGCAGGAAAATATTCCTAGATTAACTATGGTTCAAAGACACAGATTTACTGTGATTGATCTTAGTTTACTAAATTATAGGAAATTAAAATAATATTTAAAAAACAAATTTAAAGATCTATTTAAAGATTATGGTTTGAAAGAAAACGGCCCTGAAGGGAGTGGAACTATTAGGAAGTGTGTCTGTCACTTTGTGGGTGGGCTTTGAGGTCTCCTATGCTCATGCTATGCCATGTCACAATTTTACTCCCTGTTGCCTGCAGATCAAGACGTAGGACTCTTCAGCACCATGTTTGCCTGCATGGCACCATGTTTCCTGCCATGATAATAATGGACTAAGCCTCTGAAGCTGTAAGCTACCAAATTAAATGTTTTCTTTATAGAAGTTGCTGTGGTCATGGTGTCTCTTCACAGCAATTGAAACCCTAACTAAGATAAAGATACACAAAGAATTTTCTTGTAAGTAAAAGTAAAGTAACATGAGATTAAAAATATGATAATGCCCTGGGATCCTCAAACACAGTTACAAAATTTCCCTCCACAACTGCTGCACTATTTGGACTTTATACTTATTATACAAGAAGTTTTATTATGTTTATATACTAGTTAAGTACTGGTTGCTAGAGTATCTGAAAAGTTTTAACACTCTAGAAAAATGAGCATGTAATACAGTCACATATGCCTGTTTGTGTTACCTGAAAGAGCTTTATGTCAGATACTTTAAATATTATTACAAGTTGTCTTACGTACACAATTTTGTTATAAGCAGCCCTTCCAAAAAGTGTTTGTTATGGGTTTTGCAATATTCTAATTGGCTCAACATAGACCTATTTTCTGGAAACTTACCTGATTCCTGCATTAAAATAGCAGAATTGAATAACGCTAGCTTATGTTTGGGATTTAGTTCCAAAGCCCGATTAAAGTTCTTCAGCGCTTCATTTGGTTCTTTAAGTTCAATCGAAACAATTGCCAAGTTGTACCACAGATCTGCATTATTTCTGTCCAGCTCTAGGGCTTTCAGATATGCCTCCTTGGCTTTGAGAGGCTTATTCATTTTTAAGAGCAACTCTCCCCTGTGGGAAGGAAACAGACAGGGCTTACCTTACAGTCTTACTAGCCACTTCTTCATAAACACCACTTTAGACTGGACGTAAGTCTTCCCACACAATGGCTTTATTTTCTTCTTTCACCTTACATTCTTAAAAAGTCTCTTAAAAATCGCTTTGTGAAATTAGCCTCAAATCTGAACTCTTATATATTTCCAAGTATTATAAAAAAACCTGCATATCTGACTTTGGATGATAATTGTAGAGAAGTAATCAGGAAAGGGTGACAGAAAATGTGTTCTTGGGCGAATCTTAGAGGAGACAACTGACTGCATGACATCACAGAAGCTATGACAGTGGCAGATCAGTGAATCAGATGATGACATTGGAACACTGGAAAAAAATATGCTTGTTACTGGGAATTTTGGGTCTTTACATCTGGTGCAAATGTCCAAATTAGCAGAGACTACAGAAATGTGAACTCTCTCTTTGTATATTAGCTTTGTCTCCTTCAAAGTATTCTTATAAATGACTATTCAAAAACAAGAAAGACAAAAAGGAATTTCCCAATGGTTGACCGGAGAGCACGTGTGCCACCTGCTGGAAGCTTAGGAACACACTAGAATGACCAGCTTAAAATCTATCCGTCCAGCATGGTTCCATTTGAGTTTGAGAACTTAACGTCATTTTGCTTAAAATTTGTGAAGTTACTTTTACTAAGATGAATACAGCAACTTCTGGGCATGAGACCAAGGTTATTATTTTAATGCAGAGATTATTGAGAGTCTTTATGAAATAACTGAGGACTGGATATGGAAAAAAAAAAAACAAAACAACCCAATATCCAGTTTAGGAATAGATTTTAATCTTTTAGCCTCAAAAAGTTAAATTCAGAATATACTTTCCTCAGGGAAACAATGCTATAAATTATGAGCTTCATGTTCAGTACATAAAAAAAGTTTAACGTGCAATGTCTCTTGAGTATAAAAGTGATAACATTTTTATATGAGAATATACAAAAATATTAACATGATGTCAGACCTTTTTTTTTTCTTTACTGTCAACCAAGAAGTCTGCTTTGTGGCAAAGGTGACAGAGACAGAGAGGCTGATTGAGACTGACTAACACTGTTTACAGGACACAAATGGATCTAACATGGAGCTGCTTCTAGACTCTTTTAGCTATTGTAATGATTTCCTTGTCAATTTCAAATTACTTAAGTTCAAGTGGTAGGTAATTTTGTTGAAACACCCATGCAGCTAGAGCTTCAGTTTACAGTGGTAATTCTAAGGTCAATCAGGATACCTGCTAATGTAAGCCTGCTTGAAGTCCGGCCTCATGCTTATTGCCTGTCGGTACAGCTGGTCGGCTTCCTCCAGGCGGGACTCATTTGCTCGGATGAGGTTGGCCAGATTGATATAAACATTTAAGTGATTTGGGGCAATTCTGGCTGCATATTTTTTACCAGGAATAATCTGTTTAGGAGAAAAACATGTTTGTATAATCGTACAGTACCAAATAAAAATAACTAAGTTTTCCTAGTGGCTCATTTCAAGTAACATAGAACCTAAGGTTTTGCTGATATATAACAAAATAAATCATAAAAAATACGAAAAGCAAGCAGGGCATTGTTGCACATGCCTTTAATCCCAGCACTAGAGAGGCAAAAATGGAGTTCTGCAACTAAGAGGCCAGCTTGTCTACACAGAAGAACCCAATAAAAAAAAAAAAAAAAAGAAAAGCACTTAGAAGCACCTGAAAATATAAATATAGTTTTGACACTGGAGATTTATATTGTTTTCATTCATGCCCGTTATGAATTTTTCTGGCTTTCTGTTTACACTTCTCTTCGTATTAAGTCAGATAAACCAGAACTTTTACAGGTCAAGGTCTTGCAGTCTCCAACACAAGATAAAAACCCATTTCAGTCCAACTCTGTTAGCTCTAATGCTATCAGGAAAGTTATTTCTTGGCTGCAACAGTAGGGCAGCTAGTTTTATTTTAGAGTCATGCTCAAACCTCACTTGTTCTGTAAAGTTGAAAAATACAATGCTCTAACTGAAATTCAGGTATTACACGGAATATAAATATGGATCTTTGGTACTACATATTCAATGACGTTATACCTGTATTATTGCAACAACTGATCAGCACAACAAAGCAGCAGAGGCAAGCCTGGCTGCTGTTTAACCACTTGTCTGAATTTCTCGGAGAAGAGTAATGCTGGACTTACTGTTTAAAGTACATAAGTCAAATTCTCTTCATTTGGTCATTGACGGCAACTTATAATCAGCATCAGATATTTATGTTCTAAGACTCAGCATTTACATGTGAACTATACCAAGCATTTTTAAAAAATCAATTGAGCAAGAAGTTACCTCTAGTCAGGAACAGCCTGGGGGTTATACTATAGTTTAGTATCATTTTTAGTAAAATTTTTCTGTTTAGGTAATTCTTACTCCTATGGACATGACACAGTAAATAAGGCTACTTACTTGAGGCATTAGTGATTTAGCCAACATATAAGATTCTTCTGCTTCTCTAGTTCTGTTTAAATTTTTGTAAGTTCTTCCTACGTTCATGTGGGCACCAATATCATCTAAAGCAAAACAAAACATTTCTTGTCAAATATACTAGGCATTTTTCATTGTCACCATTGAGAAGGCAGGTTCTGAGAAGCAAATAAGGAATGTGAGAGCGGACTGGCCCTGCTTTCTGTGAAGTTCGAAAACAACTTGGTATAATTTAGAATGGCCATGACTCATGAACAGTACAAAATGACTGAGACCCTCGAAGGACACAAAGTGCATGAAACATGGGAATCCAGAGTGCATCTTTGAAGGTTGAGGAAGAGAGACAAAGACAATGGACTATCTTCACTATATGTTCTACTACATCATACTACAGACAATTTGTTTCTATTTCCTTAATCTTACAATTCTGAAATTCACTAAAAAATGCAGTCCAACTCTACAAGTGAAAATGATTATGGGAATTCCTATAATTAGGACATGGGTTTAACTAACAAATATACATCATGGTAGAATTACAGCTAAGAAATGGAAAAACCTGTAATTAAGAGACAATTTTGTGAATGTGATCAGAGTAGAATGTCAGGTTGGTGTAGGTTGATGTAAGATGTTGTGGTCATTCTTTTTAAATCATGATACAGTCTTATGTAACTTAAAGAAAATTTAAAGTTAATACCAGAATGTCGAGATTTCTATCTCATTTCCTGATATGGAAAATAAAATGAACAGTAAATTTATTTAGGGGGTAAATAAATATGCATCTTTAAGAAAGATGAGGACTAATTACACAATAATTTAAAAAAGACCTAAGTCTAATAATTATTTCAAAGGTTTTGAATAAAGTTGAGAGGATCTTAAATCAGACCGTTTTTACTCAACATCAATATCTAACAGATATGACTGGGTTTCAGTTATGATTTCCACTTGCCTGAAACACTGATGATCTTGCAATTGTGGAACAGTAGTTCTCTGAGTGCAACTCCAGGACACATAGGGAGGGGCCAAGCATATGTATCTTGGGCATTCCCCTAGAAGGAGAGCACCAGTCCTAAGAGCTTGCTGGGTGATGCTCATTATGTTTCAACTGAGTGAAACTGCATAAAAACTGGCAGAGGAGTAAGTTTTGAGAACTAGATGTTCCTCATAATTTTGTTTCTAGTAGCCCTGAAGTGCAAATAATCCAACAGTCCGTGAATATATAAATGGATGGCCAAAGTGGTATATCCACATGAAGAAGTGCCACTCAGCCAAACTAAAGTATTTTTTAAAATTCACGAACAACATTGATGAGTATCAAAATAATTATACACAGCAAGAAATACAGAAAAATGAGTCCATAGAGGATGATTTTTTCTATATACAATCTTAGAAAAAGAAAAGAAATATATAGTACTTGAAAGCAATTCTATTTTATTTGGTGGAAAGGATTATAAAAAGATGAAAGATTTGGAGATGGTTGGATATTTTAATTATCTTGGTGGTAATGGTCTTATGGGTATGAAAACTTTCAGATTTCTAAATCATCTTTTTTTTTTAAAAACTATTCTATGTACAGCCTGTGATCCTCATAATTACCTTCAATGATTTATACTTACAAGGAGTTTTAATTCAAGGGCCATTCTCTAGCTATTAATTCTAACTTTTATGCTTTTTACTTTTATATTTTAACTATACATTTTAAGTATTTAAAAATACATGAATACACACTCACATATTTTTGTTGTGCATTTATATGTATTTTTTTAAACATATCTTTTATACCTTACAGCAAATATATTTCTTTGGAATATTTTGAGTTGGCTAATCAAAGCAACCAAGGACCCTAAAAAATTAATTTATTCCTATTTATATTAGTTAAGCAAAAAGCAGAGATAAGAGTTTCCTGATATCCTTCTACTTGCCTAGGGATATTCTTTCCAAATAGGAAGAAATTAGGGGTCTGACATCTGGCATAGACAATGAAAATCTCAAATGGTTGTTCCTCAGGAACTTCATTAGCAGACAGCCTTGCACACTACGCATGGCTCCCCTCTCACACAAAGCTCCAACCCTTATTCTGTAGTTACACCTATATAAGGCTCAGTCATTGTTGAAGCTCATACTATATTATGACTCCCATCCTTAGGCATGTAACAAAACTTGCATTTTTCCTGTTATTTGTTTGTTGTCAGTTTATATGACCAACGAAAATGATCAAATGTCAGAAAGAATAGAACAAATTCTCAACTACATTTCCCAGGGGAGCCTCGGGCAACAGTAAAATTGCTCTACTCAGTGCTGGGTTCTAGCAGCTCAAGCAGCACCTGACACAGGGTTATGTTTCAACATACAGGTGATGAGCACACTCTTGGAGCCGTCTGTATCATTCTCCTTTCAGCCCTCCTCCCTGGTGTACACAGGGTCTGGACTGTCGGCCAAAGGTCATGGATACAGGCTGTCTGCTCTTGGGAAGTGGTGGGACATTGAAGAGAGAACTAGTGGAAGAAGTCAGGGCAGTGCAGGGATGCCAAGAAGGGAATGCTTGAACTCAGGTCCTTTTCTGTTCCTCTTTGCTTCCTGGTTGTCATAAGGTGAGCAACCTCTTCTACTGTATAATAAGTACTGTCTTCCCAAAGGCTCAGAGCAATTGATCAAGTCACCTAAAACTTTCCTTGTCTTCTTTTATGCTGATTATCTCAGTATTCAATACAGTAATAGAAGCATGAATATTCACTGTATCCCACACCGTTAAATTAACTCCTTGTTTCCTAGTTGCATTGAAAATAACGTATTTGTTAATATAGCTTACCCTTACCTACTATATTATGATGGGCTAGACACTGGCCTAAGGCTTTTATAATGAGCATTTAATCCATACAAAAAGAGAGTTGATTACTTTTCAAAATGTGATACCTAGAAAATTTGTGATTGAACTCATTTTAATATAAGGTCTATTTGAGACCAGGTTCTAAGCATTTTTTTTTTTAAAAGACAGCTCATTTCTTAAAAAAAAGAATAAAAAAGAATATTTAACAGACAAGTACCTTAATCTGCTGAGGCCTCTCCTGACCTGACAGCCTCAGATTCTTATCTCTCTGTCCTCGTGTCCTAAGTGCTGACAGTGTAGGGCCATGGCACCATAAGAGGTTTCAGAGTCTAAGCTTTTAACCACCAAACAATTGCCTCGTCCAGCTTACCTTGGTCATTCTGTTACTTTTGGCAATATCTAGTAATGTCATACAAGAACATGGTATTCTCCCTGCCAAGTGACTATGAACATAGCCACATAGGAAGAAGTCAGAAGGCACATCATAAATGTTGTATTCAGTGTTTCCAGTCTATGTGCTTATCCAAAAGAAACCAGAATGATGTGGACCCTCTATCTTCCCAGTCTATGGCTTATTAAAACCTACTTCTGAACATGTTGATGGTGAAGTCATACTCGAGCTATATACAGGATATATGCTTAAAACAGAAATAAGTGAAAACTGAGGGGGCAATTACTTAAGACTGAGTGCTTACACATGCAACATTCTGTAATACACGACACCATTCACATAAACTGATCACTGGAAAATATATTTCACATATGCACTTGATTTAGTCTTTACAAAATTGCTGAAACAGAAATCACTACCCCAACACAGAAGTGAGAAAGACAAAAGTGAGGAGGCTTAAGTGTTGGGTATAAAGGTGATAACTTGAGCTGGCAAGATGGCTCATTTGTAAAGGCACCAAGCCTGGCAACCTGAATTCTTTCCCTTGGGCTAGACCGAAGGACAGAACTGACTCTCCTAGTTGTCTTGTGACCGCTACAAGTACATGCATACACACACACACACACACACTGCCACTAGCACATGTGTACACACACACATACACAGATTGCCACAAGCACATGCATACATACACACACACATACACACACACACACACACACACACACACACACACACACACACACACACACATATACACACACACACACACACGCAATGCAACAAATTTTTAAAAAGATAAAATTCCAGAATGAAAATCTAAGACTTTAATAAGAAATGAATTAGAATTACTACATTTAATGAATTTTGCCAGTGTAAAACATGAATCAGATGTTTATGTTGCTACAAGGAAGCTTCACATTTTCAACAAACCAGTATTGCAAACAAATTAAGAATTAAGTTAGTAAATATAACACACAAAATAAGTGTGTGTGTGTATCTTGCAGAAAAGATACGAAAGAAATTTACGGGGTCTACAAATAAGTGCTTTGGCTTAGCTAGAAGAGAAGATGTTTGAAAAGAGGCCATAGGAAACAGGTTATAAAAGACAAGTAACAGAAGTATGTATGGTAGAAGACAGATGGGAACAGAAAACATTCTATGCTCAAGATACACACATCAAAGAGGAGATATAGGACACATACCCCATCTTCCAAGAAAAACTAGCCTACATGAAAAGTCAAGGAAGATAGAATAGCAAGTTATATTTCTATACCCCTTTCTATCAAAATTGTCTTTTTTTTTTTAAACCAACCAGTTTCCCCTCCCTCTTCTTTACCTGTTCTTAACCCTCCCACTTCCTTTCTACTCCCCTCGCAATCCACTCCTCAGGAAGGGTAAGGCCTGCCATGAGTCAACAAAGCATGGCATATCAAGTTAAGGCAGGACTAAGCTCCTCCCCCCTGCATCAGGGCTGAGCAAGGCAGCCCACCATAGGGAATAGGTTCCAAAAAGCCAGCTCATGTGCCAGGGACAGATCCTGGTCCCACTGCTAGGGGCCCCCAAAACAGACCAAGCCACACAACTGTCACCCACATGCAGAGGGCCTAGGTTAGTCCCACGCAGGCTCCCTAGATGTTGGTTCAGAGTCCATGAGCTCCCACATGCTCAGGTCAGCTGTCTCTGTGGTTTCCCCCATTATGATCCTGACCCACTTTGCTCCTACAATCTCTCCTCCCTCTCTTCAACTTCTGGAGCTCGGCCCAATGCCTGGCTGTGGATCTCTGCATCTGCTTCCAGCAGTCACAGGATGAAGGCTCTCTGATGACAGTTAGGGTAGTTACCACTGATTACAGGAGAAGGCCAGTCCAGGCACCCTCTCCACTATTGCTCGGAGTTTTAGCTTGGGTCATCCTTGTGGATTTCTGTGATTTTCCCTGGTACCAGGGTTCTCCCTAACACCACAATGCCTCCCTCTATCAAGATATCTCTTTCATTGCTGTCCCTCTGTCTTAATGACATAGTTGCTCTGTACCTCTTTCTGTGGTGACTATGACCTTTTCTTATTCTTTGTAACACTGGGCCTGGAGGAAGAGTGGGTATTATCATGAATGCCAGTTTTTAATTCCAGACAATTGTGAGTCCTTTTAAAAGTATCTCTCAACTCTGATGACTATTAAACTGCTTATCTAATCTATTTTTACAGCTACCAATATTTGACTCTGACAGCTGACCTGAACTAGTGGGAGCTCAGGGACTCTAGACCAACAGCTAGGGAGCCTGCATGGGACCGACCTAGGTCCTCTGCAATGTGGGTGACAGTTGTGTAGCTTGGTCTGTTTGTGGGGCCCCTAGCAGTAGGACTCAGAGAGTCAAATATCCTGGAGCTCTTGGGCTCTCTCTAACATTACAACTGTCAAAATTCTTTAATTTCAACAATCTATATACATGCAACTATTTTTTCTTTTAGGGTTTTTTTTTTTTTGTGTGTGTGTGTGTGTGTGAGAGAGAGAGAGAGACAGACAGACAGAGAGACAGAGACAGAGAGACAGAGACAGAGACAGAGAGACAGAGAGAGACAGAGAGGCAGCCCTTTCTCTACAAAGCCCTGTCCATCCTGGAACTTACTATGTAGACCAGGCTGGCACTGAACTTAGAGATCCACTTATCTCTGCCTCCCAAGTGCTGGTGTTAAAGGAGTGTGACACTATACTTGGCATACACATGGTATTTTCTAACACTGTGCCCAATTCATGGGATAGTTAGAATATGGGGATCGTTCCATTTGTCTTTGAATAGAATCGAATGTTGGTATCTGGTGGTATCAGTAGTTGGATGCAACCTTTAGTAAAATAATTCTGCAAACTTGAAATGTCAGTAGCACTCTTCTTAAAAAAACCACTACTCCAGTTATATGCTACTCAGATACCAACATTTCTTCAGATAGATCTGATCTCGGCACTTTTCTCCCATCCCTTTGGAATCAATTTAGATTATAAACATTGATCCCTTAGCCTTTTCTTCCTTAGTAAAACACATCTGAAAAAAAATTCTAATTCTTATTAACAGAGTAATTCATGCCTCAAGATCATCACCTTAGCTGGAAAGTAAGGGGAGAAAAACATTTAACTATATCAACAGATTGACTTTTCAGTTATTACTAATCTCAAGCAGGGTGCTAATGCTGCTTGGCAACTGTAATGTTTTTCTAGCTGCCTTCCTCTGCTTCATGTGGATAAATCATATGAGAGCTTACAAGAAATGTACAATTCAAGGTTATACCTATATCTGCACCAGAATATCACTAGAACAAGATCTCTAGGAGACTGATATGCACACTGAAGTTTGCGAAGCACTGTCTTACAGGACCATTTTGCATTCTCCCTGTTCATACATCTCAAACAGTCCTTTCCTTTGCTGTCTACTAGTGACTGTACTTTTGCACTGACGAAACAGAAGCCAACAGAAGGCGACTTCAGGTTACTACAGATTACTGACTCACTGACTCACCTCCCATCCACGGTCTACACTGTGCCTTCTTAGTGACCACAATTTATTCTAGGTCCTACAAGTAATGCAGCCTGTACACCAGATCCGGCCTATCTTCCCACAATGCACCATTACTTTTCTCAGCTACATGGATACACTTGACCTCCGCCTTGTTTCTCCCAAAGAAACGACGCTGTCATTCTGACATCTTCTCTGGCCTATCACCACAGCATTAGTCACAACACCCGTTCATTTTTTCCTATGGTGTCTTCAATAATTCTTCCTCTACCCCCTTGAACTCAGCTGAATCAACCGTGTGCCCTCACTCCACCTACTGTGCACATTAGTGCCATCTAACAACTACAATTTTATTAAAGCCTTAGGAAAGAAGCTATTCGTCACTTTAGTAATTTAGTAAACAGTGTTTACCTGGCTGAACATAGGTAGCCTGCAAGAAGTATTTCAAAGCTCTCTCAAAGTTCTTCTCATTTTCCAGAGCATGACCCACATTATTCCATAATTTGGCATTGTTTTTATTCACCTTAAACACAAGTAAAAACATAATGAGCTATAATCAGAAAAATAGCACCACTACCAACAATCCAAAAACCTCCAGCTCATAGACCTTTGTTTGGTTGACTATTGGGAAAGGAAATGTTTTATGGAAATACTCCGAAAATAAGACAAAGTCCACTTTCCTCTAACGTATCATAAAACAACATCACTTTGATTTCGTTTATGTTTCAGAAATGTTCCCAAAGTTTTATTTGACTAGAGCACAATCCTGTTTGAAAACTACTGCAGTAGTATTTGTATTCTGTTTAGGAGAGAAGGTACTAGAATATAAGAATATATTTTGGTTGGACATGTTTAAAGCTATTTACATAGTTTACTATGGAAATAGAAATGCTGAGATTAAAGTTGTGAAATCCATGTGTATGTTTCAAGCTCACAGATGGGTAAAACATGATACATAGCCAAAGTAGCTGCAGTGATTGGAATTGTAGGCTTTATTTAGCGTCCTGAGAATAAATGCAGACAAAATTCCTAATAATTATGGGATGCCATTAATATACAAAAGTTATGGATTTAATATGGCAATGATGCTTCAATTACCTACACAGTTAGGAGGGAAGTAAAACTGCACGATACAAGAAGGATCATCTGCTGTGCGATATTTTGTGTTCTGACAAATGAAGCTTGCATGGAGATCAGAGTGCGGAGCCAGCCACTAGCTAGCCATAGAGGCCAGGCAGTGCTGGCTCACACCTTCAATTCCAGCACAATCAGGAGACAGAGACAGGAATATAAGGCAGGTGAAGATAGGATCTTGGTCCCATTTGGTCTTAAGATCTGTAGAGGTAAGAAGTGTCTAGTGGCTGCTTCTCTGCTTCTCTGATCTTTCAGATTATTACCCTGATATTTGACTCTTGGTTTTCATTGATAAGACTAGTCAGGATCACACTTCATCTGGTTAGGTATAGTACTATCTTAAAATTTAAACTTTCTGTTTTGATATTAATGATGTTTAAGTTTTCTACAGTGAACAATAAACTTTCCTAACAGCAATCTCTAAAGTCTCCAAAAAGATGATGGGGCCCCTCAATGATGATTCTACCTGGACTATGGTAATGCCACTAAGCTGACAAACAGTACCTAAAGATTGGCTTTGGACTACAAACTTCTCAGGACAACTTCAAGGTGGCTAGCAGAGATGGTCCAGCTGCACAGACTACTCTAGCCAGGACTTGAGACAAGCCCTTCATTTTCCCATTACACAGATACTGGACAACAATGATACAGTTAGTTGTGGTGATATGCTGTGTACCTTAATAAACTTGTCTGAAATGTGGTGATATATTGTGTACCCTAATAAACTTGCCTGAGAATCAGAGGACAGAGCCAGCCATTAGATTAGAAACAGAGCCAGGCAGTGTTGGCACACACCTTTAATCCCAGCACTTGAGATCTCATGTGTTTGCTTGGTAAGCACAAACGCCTTTAATCCCAGAAAGTAATATGGCAGGGCAGAGAAAGGTATATAAGGCATGAGGAAACAGGAACTCACTCTCTTTAGGCTGAGGATTCCGTAGAGTTAAAAACTAGTGGCTGGCTATTCTGCTTCTCTGACCCTCAGGCAAGTTTATTAGAGTAAGCAATATATCACCACAGTTGGCTCTTCCTGGACTTGACAATTATCCCATATTTTCAGAGTCCCCTAAAGATGCTGCCACCTCCAGACAGGACAAAGTAATTTTAAGAACAGGATGCCCAGATTCCTAAGAGATAGGGTGGGTGGTTTTTGGTCGTTCAGTAGGTGATGGATATTTCTCATCATTTAGGGGGGCTGGTTACAAGTTATTATTGGTAATGGTCAGGAAAAAGCTGAACAAAGGAGATTAGATTCAGAGATGTTGTTCTAAAAAGAACAAGGGGGATAGAAATAGGATAAAAAGGTAGAGGACTGAATCTACTTTTAGACCAAAAACAGCAACTATTAGTTTTAAATATTTTACACTGGCTTGGATTTTTGTACATTGATACAAATTTGAGATTATTTTTGTTATACTGTATATATGTTACAGAAATGATAGGATAAAAAGGTAGATTATTGAATCTACTTTAAACCAAAAAAGCAACTACTAGCTTTAAATATTTTACATTGATATGGATTTTTGTATATTGATACAAATTTAAGTTTATTTTGGTTAGAACATACTGTACATACATTGCTACTCTTGCTCAAGGCATTGTACCTACACAGCTCATCTAACAATGTAATGTAAATTTCAAGTCCTTGAAAATTATTATTACAAACTATTTAGAATAATAAAGAAATGCAGGTTAGTAGTAGTTAGTCACCTATTTCAATCAAATTTGTAGTCATGTTAGGTGTGTTTTCAAGGTCAAACAGAGATATATTTTAGATAGACAGGTGGTCTTCAAACACTTCAGAGATCTACAGAATATGGCATTTAATATCTCTTAATAACATAAGATGCCTTCCCTCCCTCCCTCCCTCCCTACCCCCCCTCTGTGTGTATGTCTCTCTCTGTCTGTCTGTCTCTCTTTCATTTTTAATGACAATGAGACATGTCTGCTCCTGGCAGCACCAATCTACTTCAAAGAAGATGATGGGCATTGAAGAAACTCCATATGTTACTTTCTTTGTGGCAAAAGTTAAAAATTGGGCAAGAAACTGCCCTTGCCTCAACTGCTGACAGTATTCTGTCCAAAATGGACAAGCAGGACAGAAAAGAAAGTGACTGCAGAACTTTGCCAAAACAAGGTGGGACAGTCCCTCGAAAATCCTGCTTCACAGATAAGTCTGTCAATATTCTAGGCCTGTAGGTCGAAGATGGAGGCCCCAACACTGCAGAGGAATCTTGGGTGACTGTCCAGGCAGCCAGCTGTTTCATTTCTTATTTTCGGAAGTTGTTTGCTTTACACTTCCTGTTCACTCAGGTAATATATCCTTCTCAGGTCTCTGATGGAGTTGAAGACTTTATAGTTATAGTTTTCCCTTTTTACAAATTCAGAAAAGACACGCACAAAAGAGGTGTAAAGTGTATAAGGTTGAGAGACATCAAAAGAAAGTTTGGGTTGGTAATGCAAGTTAGGATAGAAAGTTAACTAGGTACAACACTTTGGACTCAACAAGATAGGACAGATAATAGAATATTTTCTCTGAATTTGTCAAATGCTAATTGATTAGATATTGCTAATGTAATTATTGCCGGTATATATTTATATGTGTTTATTGTACTTATTGTATACAGTTTTTCTTTGCTTTTTGTTTAGACAAAATTAAGAGGCCAGGGGGTGGTTGCTCACACCTTTGATCCCAGTACTTGGGGGGCTCACATCTTTAATCCCAGCACAATTTGGAGGTGGAGACAGGAATATAAGGTGGGTAGAGACAGGTTCTAGGCCCCGTTCAGTCTGAGGATTCATAGAGGTAAGAAGTCTCTAGTGGCTGCTGCTCTGCTTCTCTGATCTTTCAGGTTGTTAGCCTGATATCTGACTCCGGGTTTTAATTGATAAGACAAATTAGGATTTCACTTCAATCATCCAATCTTAAGTAGATGTTATATAAAGATAGCTCATGAAGCAGATGATTCAATAAAGCTAAGTAATGGAAATAAAGAAGATGTCAAAAGGAGGGGCTGGAGGAATGGCTCAGCAGTTTAAAGCATGGACTGTGCTCACAGAGGACTTGAGTTTGCTTTCTACTACTCAGATCAGGCTGCTTCAGGGAAATTCAACACCTCTGGCCTCAGTGAGCACCTGAACTCACATGCACATACCCACACACAGACATCTGCACATATATACAATTAAGAAAAAGAAATAGTCAAAAGAAAATATGAGTTTAGAGATTTGGAAAGGATAAGAGAGAACAAAAGCTTGGGGGAAAAATTCCATTTTTAAATAAAATTCTGTCTACTCACTCTGTTACTAACAGCGCTGAACCAGTACACTCCTTCACACAGCAGGGTGACACTTGTGTTATATATTTCATCTCACTGAACTAATAATGCATTGATTTTAGAACTCTCATTATTCTATATACCATTAACACTAACAAAGCCACCAATGAACTGTGAGCTGTCATATCCTATACTACCATGCTATTAAGACACTGAATGGTAAAAACTGTGCACCTAAGAACTAAGAAGACATAGTTTTCTACGTAAAAATTTTGCCATGTGACTTTCACAAGAATTTAGTATACCATTCACAGAACTACTTATATATTCTTTTGACATATAATTAAATAGTACTTAGGGAGTTGGTTATAGTATATATTATATAAAAACAATTTATTGCTTCTTGGCTAAAATGGAAGTAAATGTCTGCCTAAAAGTATAGTAAAACGGTTTCACAAAGACATACTTTCCTGTCCTCTGAGTAATAATACTTTACCTTTAATGCTGACATAAACAATGTATATTCAGACTCCCAGTCCCAATTCCTATGGAGTGTTTTCAGGGCATGGGTTAATATCACCATGGACAGACAAATCCAAGAGAGTTTTTTCAATACACTGTTCAAAAGATATAAGAAGAAAAAAAGTACTGTCTTCATTACCAAAAGCATTTTACATCTTAGAAGAGGTAACAAATATGTTAAACATCTCCAAATTATCATTTTGAATTCATTCTAACAACTTCCACAATTAGAAAGCACAACACCCCCAAATTAAATATTATAAATATGGCCTTCCAATTGAGACTTCACTGATATTTTATTCAGTCTTTGGGTTTGTAGATCTATTACAAAATTCCCATAGGACAGCAAAGTCTGAGGATGCTCAAGTCCTCATCTAAGATGGTAAACATTTGCAGAGCCTACACAACTTTCCTATATATTTTAAACAATGCTTAATGACTGTGCAAGAGTTAATAGTTTACTGTTAAGGGACAATGATATGTAAAAAGTCTACACATATTGGTACAAATGCAATTTTTTTCTAATACATTGCTCTTCTAGTCTTTGATTATTTTTATTTATACTTTAAGGTCAGAACTGTCTGTTAAAAAACAGAGGAAAATCTATAAACAGACGCCAATCCCAAAACTTTAGGCTAATTGTTGACATCTGATTCTTCACTTATAACAGGAGGATTACGTCAATCTCTATTATCTCACTTAGTTAATATTTTGAGACTGTCTGTGCTTTGGATCTCTAACATGGTTCAATAGCTTACATTTCGACAGATCCACTTAGGCAGAACAAGATAATATGGATCAGATAGCATCACTGGAAGAATTACAATGTAAACTGTAATTAACAATTTTGTTTACTAGATGCATGACTTCGGGCAATTCAGGTAACTTGCATGAGCTTCAATTTTCACATTTGCACAGGAGGGCAGGTGTGTTAAGATTAAATGAGAAAATAATTCTAAATGTCTATCATGAATAATCCTTGGCACATAGTAGGCCCTAAAAATTGGTGACGATAACAACTGGATACACTGGTAGAAATTACAAGAAAGGTTTGATAGATATGGCTGATAATTGTGAAACTAAATAGGACAGTTTACTGAGTGCATGTGTGTCAAAAGAGGTTAGATGCAAAATGCAGAAAAAAAGGGAAATATTGAAAGAATGGATATAGTATGAAGCTTCTGAGCTAGAACTTACATAAGATAATGAGGTGGGGGATAAGTTTATAAAAACCATGGAAATAATTTTTAAATAAAAGTCTTAACTGGATATAAGAGGAGGCAATATGCAAGGGATGCTAAGATTGATGTAGAGAGTCAGCTGTAAATCAAAATTAGTATCATTTATTGGTATATTAAATGTACATAATCCCTTTGGTTATGGCAGCTTCTAAGCATCCTGTTCCTTAACTGTTAAAGCACCACAGAAACCTACATTACTTTATAATGAAGATGGCGATAGAAAATTAGGAATGCTTGCTAAGTACCTTTTAGACACACCCAGACTCAGTATGACTAATAGGATGGCCATATCTTAGTCACTGCATATGAAAGTGGGAATGGTCGTTTGGGCCTGAGTTTCAACAACAGTGTCATTGTTTCACTTGGGTCTGACTCAGATGGTCGTCTTGGGCTGTAATATAAATTATATAGAGAACACAGAGGGAGTAGGTGGTGAAGAGCTTTTCTAACTTGAATTACAGCTATCAAGATGAAAAGACTAAAAGTATGGCTTAGAAAACTGGACTACATACAGACTAACACACTAACACATTAAATTTTAATGTTTTTAATTCTAAATTTAATAATATCAGACAAACTAGCATTTAATTCACCTTTTGTTTGAAATTTTTTGCCATCCATGAGCTACTAAAATACAGAACCCCATGCTAGGAACATATAATACTCGCTCAGCAACAACAAATCCAACAGGAAAGAAAAGGTTGGATGCAGGAATAAATGGTAATGCCATTAAACAAAGTGCCTAGAATGAAAAAAAAAAGATAGCACATTAAATTAAAAAAATACACAGATGACAAACAATAAAAGCTTTTATAATTTATTTTGAGTAAATGAGTTTGTAGAATATTTTAGATAATACTACCATGAACAATGAACATAAAGGCAACACGGGTAGTAATAAACATTAGTATGTACATCAGCAAGATAAGAAGGAAGTTTTTGATTTACAGGATTTACTTTGGGAGGCTGCCTACAGACTTTATGAGTTATCATTTGAAATTAGACTCTGAACCTTTTACAGCATTGGAGATATGAAAACATAATTAGCAATACTTCACTTGTTCTGTGAGAAATACAACTTTTAGCTAAGTTTACTACCAAGGTTCACTTATTTAAATTACTTTTTAAAAGAGTATTTTGAAAAATAGTAAAAAATTCAAAAAAAATGGGCAGAGAAGACATACGAGCAACCAAGAGCTGTATGAAAAATGCTCTATATTACTAATCATCAGAGAAATGCAAACTTAAAGTTTAATGAACTCCGTCAGAGTTAGAGTGCCATTGTCAGAAAGACAACAGAAAGCAAGTGTTGAGAAGAATGTAGAGAAATGTTAACCAATGCATACTTAATGATAGGAACTGAATTGTAGCGGGTAGCCATTCCAGCTTTGGTCTGGAAGTTCCAACCCCCATTGAGGCTTTGGTAACTATCACGCCTACAAGGCGGGGCCAAGAGAGGGCCCTGAAGACCCGAGATCCGGATGCTCTGCGTTCTCGTTTCCTGGACCCTGGATGCTGGAGATAGACAGAGCAGAGTTCTCCAGAGAACTCTGCCGGACTGCGCTGCATCTTTACCAGATCCTGCCTGCAACCTACCTATCCCTTCATTTGTAAGTTATGCCACTAAATAAATCTCCCTTTTAACTACATGGAATGGCCTTAATAATTTCACCAATACTGAATTAGCAATGTTATTACATGCAACAGGATGGGAATGCCTCAAGATATTAAAAAGAGTCATACAATCCAGCGATCCCACTAGTTTATATCGAAAAGAAGGAAACCCACACACTGTAACATATCTACCCTTCCATTCTTGCACCACGGTTCAGAATAGCCAGCAAATGGAACCAACTTAGTGATGGGCAGATGGATGAAAAGATAAAATAGGGCATATATGCACAAGAAAATCCTATTTAGCCTTAAAAGGAGGAAGAAACTCTTGCTATTTGCAACAGGGATGAAAGTGCTGGACATTATATAATATGCCATACTCCTGATACTTTCATTTGTATATGGACTATAAAAAAGTAATGTCAGCCGGGCGGTGGTGGCGCACGCCTTTAATCCCAGCACTCGGGAGGCAGAGCCAGGCGGATCTCTGTGAGTTCGAGGCCGGCCTGGGCTACCAAGTGAGTTCCAGGAAAAGGCGCAAAGCTACACAGAGAAACCCTGTCTTGAAAAAAACAAAAAAAACAAAAAAGCAAAACAAAAACAAAAACAAAAAAAAGTAATGTCATAAACTGAGAACAGAATGGTGTTTACCAGAGTGAGGCAGAGGCGTCTGGGGAGATGTTGGTCAAGGGACATAAACTTTTGTTACACAGGAAGAAAGAAATGAAAAAGAAGAAAAAACCTTACACACCCCATTTTTGTGCATGTGGTAACAGTAAGCTGAGAAAATGTCAATAGATTTTTCAGGAAAACAAAATCACCAAGGTTGGTAACAGACAAAAACGTTGGTTTCTAGAACACTACTACAAGAAACCCCATAATACTGGAGTCTGAAAGATTGAAGTAAGGTATGGTTTAGATTAGACATGGACGTCTGGTTCTATAGCTTGTAGATATTCTGGTTCTAAAACTTGTATAATATTCTGGTTCTATAGTTTGTATAATATTCTTTTTTCAAAGAAGATCTTTCTAAACGGTGTTTTTTTTATTATTATTTTTATTTTAGGTGTGTGGGTGTTTTGCCTGCATGTGTATCTGTGCTGTGCCTACAGAAGTCAGAAGAGGGTATCAGATGCCCTGAGAACGGATGTACACATCTTTGTGAACTACAATACGGGCGCTGGGAATTGAATCTGGGTCCTCTGGAAGAGCAGCTGTGCTTTCAACTTCTGAGCCATCTCTCCAGCCCTCTTGGAATTCTAATGAGTTACATGTTTAAAAAGAGGTTTATACTATGCATGTAAAAATAAAACTGTCCCTTTAAATCAGTAGATTTTATTCTTTAAAGCAATCACTAAAATGGTAGCATTGCATACTGAGAAAAACGTGAGGATATTCAGATTTCCTGTCCTTCAGAAAATGGGATGATATGTGGCTTCTTGACTATAAAGCGACCCATGACTAAGCATATAAATAACATGGGAGGATTTAAATTTGATGGCTTAGGACTTGTAGCTGTGGACATTTGCTTCCGTATTTTGTTTCCCTTCTCTCTCTCTCTCTCTTTTTTTTTTAATTTTGTTTTTGAGATAGGATTTCTTGTAGCTTAGGCTGGCCTTGAAATTGCTATGTTGTCAAGGATGACCTTGAACTTCTGATCTTCCTGTCTTCACCTAGGGCCTCATGCACATCAGCAGAGCAACCTGTCCAGTCAGCTACATCCCTAGGCCCCTGTTTTGTTTTATAGGACTTACTTGAATATGCAATTTAATGCTTCAGTTTCAGAAATCTGAAGCTTTCGAAAGGACCCGAGGAAGGGCCGTCTCTTTTCTTATACTTCATTAATGAGATGAAGATGAAGCTGCATCACATCAATTAACTGGTCTGAAATTTCAGTATTTAAAAAAATCAAAGCACAAACTATTAAGGATTTTTTTTTACTTCTCATTTCCTAGAGACACATGATTAATAAAACAACCACATAGAGTAAAGCTATTTAGCTACATTAATGACTAAATTACAGAAACAAGGAAAATGATCACTCAAAGTCTGACTGTGTCTTTTTAATGATTACTTAGAAATCTTAATTAATGAAGTACTATTTAATGTATGCCAATCTTGCTAACTATGATTAGCCTATAGTTTTCTTCTGCTAATAATAGAAAGTCCTTTTGAGAAAATATTATAGGCCGGAGAAATAGCTTAGCAGTTAAAAGAGCTTGTTCTTCAAAAGAACCTGGGTTTAGTTCATAATACCCTCAGTGGCAGCTCACAACTGTCTGTAACTCCAGTCTTAGGGGATCCAATGCCTTCTTCTGGGCCCTGTAAGCACCAGGCACACACACATGGTACACAGACAGAGATGAAGGCAAAATATTCATATGTAAGAAAAAAAAATCTAAACAATAAAAAAAAATAGGGGTATTAGTGGCAAGAGCCAAGAGTTTAAAGATAAATCCCAAACTTAATTCTTTTGTAATATAAACTATTCAATCATCCTGAGAATACTTCCTTATAAGCAAAAATGGGGACAAACAACTCTTGCATTATGTTGTTGATATATATTTAATATCTTAATATATACCTAATATGGAATCTGTCTTTGGGCACTACTTTCTTGTCCTGCTTCTTCTGACATCTTTAGAAAAGTCAACATTTAAGAAAATTAGCATGACTTAAGAGTATATGCAAAACAGTTATGTCCAAGGGCATAATTTTTCTTTTACATATATGAAATAACATATAACTTAAGTAAATCATTAAGTAAATTTATTTCATTGCTTTTATTTTTTTAATCTATCTGCCTATATCTTTTTATTTGCTAAACTTGGAGTCTCCTATCTTTCAACTGTCCTTTTAGCACAAGTTCAAAAGTAAATATATTTATTTTGTGTGAATTTACTTAAGCAGCAATGGACTCTTAGGAAAAGTATTAAGACTGGACTGACAAAATTCATATCATCATAAGTTCAAGGTCACCAACTTCAGATCACTCCCAGACTCCTCAGGCTTTCTAGGTTTCCCTGCTATGTATAATTCCATTCTCTTTGATTGTTTTGAATCTTGACTGCTTTTATCAAACTTCTCACCCATGTTTTTATCAGGAAACCATTGTTTCTAATTTATGGAGGGAAAGCTAAAGGGTGAGGACTAAAAAACACAGAACAAAAGAGAAACAACTCTCATCTGCCTTTACTAACTAACCTCACCAACGTTGACATTGCTGCTTCTTCATTTCCTTCATGTAACAGAACAGTGAATTTACCCGTCCAACTGAAACCACATTTTTGCTAGGTATTCTGCTGATCTTCACAAACCTACTAGTTACCCACTTTCTTACTTATTCAATGGCTTTCTACATAAATCTAGTCAGCATACCTAAATTTAAACCTGTTGCCTCTGGAACCTTAGATATCATTTTGTGTACCTGTCTCCCCATTTATTACATCCCTTACCCATAAAACAATTGTGGGACAAAATTTTTAAAGCTGTGGTTACAACCACTTGCTTTAAAGCCACTTAACGGTTCAACTAAATAATTCTGAAATTACAAAGGCAACCCATTAGTGATATCTTTGTTTCTAAAAAGTCCACAACACAAATGAAATGCTTTTTAAGTATCAACCAATGGTCTATCTAATATGAACTAGCTCTCATTTTTCTCATGTTCCAGTAAAACTGCTTCAGTGATACCTTGTCAAATCCAACATTTTCAAATAGATCTCATTTTTATGTTTAACAATGCCTGTTAAAGTCAACCAGTCACTCTTTCCTAAAACATTTGCCTGTTTTTGGGAGTTTGTATCCTACCTAGATTGTTAATTTAAATATGGAGTTCTTTCAGAATTCAGTAGTAGTTCAGCTTCTTTTACACTACTCAGTTATGTTAACTATTTTCTAGGAGAGAATTAACCCTAAGAAAGGTACAGCATCCCTAAGTTTGAGTGGCCCTCTATGTGACTTGAATGATATTAAGCCTATAGAAAACTGGTAAAGGCCTGTTTGAGAAAGGCTTCTCCCAGCTGCCCCACCCCCAAGCCCATGCACCTATCTATCTATCCTCTGGTTTCAATTAGTACCTCCAGACTAAGCGAAGCCTAAGCATTTCTTCTGAAGTTCAAAGTACTGTTCAAAAACTCCAATAGGATGTTTTAAAGATACACACTTGCACGTTTGAGTATAAAAGCCAACAGATCTTTTTCCTACACTCTGCATTCTTTCAATTTTTTTCTGTATGTTAGCCATTTGTCACAAGTTTCTTAGACTGCAAACTCTCTGGAAATAAGGACCTGAGAGCTCCTCTTATCACAGTTGCAATCAATTCATAAATTTATACCGAACAAAATGTTAGTCTAGGGGTGCTAGCCAGGAACAATGTACTTGTGAAATATTAAAATACTTTCTACCGTACAGTAAATGCTAAAGAAAATGTTACCTTTAACAATTAAAAAAGAGTGAGGAAAAATAAATCCTGCAAAGTCAAGACTGAAGGAGGAAATTATCAAAATGAGTACGCACACACACATACACACACACATACACATACAAACACACATAAACTTTGAAATAATCAGAGGTCTCTAGACATAGTCCCACTCAGGGAGCAATTAAAATCTTGTTAACAGGACTTAAAGTCTCTATTGCTTTAGCTGCATACTGCATGACACTATTCACAATGCCAGGGAAGCAAGCATACAATATAATCATTTTTTTTTTAAATGTGAATAAGAAATGTAGAGAAAGAAAATGAATGACAAAGGGATCTGACTGTGATTTCATTGTTTCCATCACATTAGAAAAATATTAGTTTCTGTTTTATATAGCTGCTTGTGCATGCTAAAATATACCTGTAAAATAATTCCATTATTCATTTAATTAATAAGGACAATGTAACATATGTTCATACATTGAGAATGATCAACAAAGAATTATACTTCTAGAAGCACACATTGGATAAGTTACAGATAATGTCGCATGGAACCAACCGAATGCAACATAATTTGAAAAGTTAAGATTTCTTACCATTAGGACAGTCTTTGAGGAATCACCAGGGTATCGGAGACTGAATATTCCCAAAGCCCCCAGAAAGCAAAAGAAAGCAAAAGTGGCGAGATTGCGAATATCTAGAAATGACTCTATGAGTGGTATTGTCCCCATGGTCCAATCACAGCAGAGTTCTGAAGGATTCAACAGAAGCCAAGCGTTCACAGGAAGGAGGTAGTTAAAAGTGAGCTGTCGTGTAGGGGTTGGGCTTACGGCAGCTGGATTATCAAACCTGCACAAACAACAACAAACAAGGTATTAAAAAACGTTTTCCCCCAGTGCTGAGGATTGAGACCACCACACTGGATAGGCCAGCACTCTATACTGAGCTGTAACGCAGCTGGTGGTTTTTTGAGACATGGTTATTATTTACATAACTTATGCTAACTTTGAACTCAGGATCCTCCTGTCTTAGTTTTTCAAGTATGGCGATTACATATACATGTACTAAATAAATAACAAACAACAGCTCCCAGTCTAAATGTTGCAGGATTTAAATTTTTTTTTTTAATTAGGGGAGAGAAAAAGGGAGTGGGAGAATGAGTGTAAGTAAGGGCATGGGAATGACACAATTAACACACACGAGGAAGTCAGAGGACCGCTTGTGACTCAGTTCTCTTTCCATCATGGGGGTTCCTGGGAACTGAACTACTAAGCTTTGGTGGCAAGCACCTTTACCTACTGAGCAAGCTCAGTCGTCTCAAACCCCACTTTTTAGATACCAATTTTACTTATTAAATATATAGCTAATACACAATTACTTAATGTGCAACACAAGAGTAAATACTTTGGGGCTTTGCAGTTAGGAGTAGTGGCTGCTCTTGCAGAGACCTAAGTTTGGTTCCCAGCGCCCATGCTGGGGGCTCATAACTGCCTGCAACTCCAGTCCCAAGAGAGCTAACATGTTCTTCTGGCCTCTGCTCATTCCTGCACACATGTGGTACACACACACACACACACACACACAGTAAAAATAAATCGTTTTTTAAAGAGTAAAAATATGTTATAGATACCTTAGAAACTTGCTGTCTAATTCAAAATCTCAATCAAACTGCCTAACCGAAAAACTGTTTAGATGAGAGAAATAGTATTAAGGGAGAACTGCCTGAAGTGAAATCAGGTCAGCTCTTTTCAGTAATTATTAGAACAATCCAGACATGAATAATAATTCTGACAACCTGTAAAAGTACTTTCAATAAATCAAGACTTTCAAATTAAAGGTCATAAAAAAGTTGTATGAGCTTGAGATTTATTTGTTGTATGGAAGCTTCTAGAATATCTAGCAATGTTGTTCTATATGAATCAAAAGTTAGGGTTAAATACTGATAAAATTTATGATTCCTAGGGAAAATTTGTCTTTGTACTTTGACTACAAAGCTGCATCATTTAGAGCTTTCTTCCTGCTTTGAAATAAAAATGAAAATCACATTTCTTTTTTTTTTTGGTTTTTCGAGACAGGGTTTCTCTGTGTAGCTTTGCGCCTTTCCTGGAACTCACTTGGTAGTCCAGGCTGGCCTCGAACTCACAGAGATCCGCCTGGCTCTGCCTCCCGAGTGCTGGGATTAAAGGCGTGCGCCACCACCACCCGGCTGAAAATCACATTTCTAATACAAAGTATTTAACATGTAAGCTCACTCAGCATTTTGTGTTCTAATTTTTCTCCTAGTAAATACTAACATGTTCACATTTAGTTTTCTTTAAATCATGATATATTGACTATGAAGTTAATTACGACAGTCTAATTTTTTTTTACAAATTAAGTAAAATTTTTAAAAATAAGTATATGACAAAGGATTATGTTTACATATTTGGTTTTGAATCCAAATACTAAATTTAATTTATTTATATATAGTCCTTAAGAACACAGTTTGTTGTTTTAAAATGAATTAAGCATCAACCTCTATCCTATTTCAGGTGATTTATTTTGAAAAGAATCAAATGGTTGAGAAAAAAATCAATAGTGCTTGACCAAACAGTGTCATTTAGAAGTTCTATAGTTGGCTATACATGAAAAGTAACGTCTTTAGAGTCAGAACTTGAACTGGAAGTAAACAGGCAGAACTGAACTTGAAGCTTTCTCCTCTTTAGAGGAAACACTATTCATTTTTAAAAGTGAACAGCTTAGAATACTTGATTTAAAGAATTAATATTTAAGCAAACCAAACCACAAAATCAATTTCTCAGGGCAATATAATAAAATCTAATTTATAAGCATAGTTTTAAAAGCTTTTATTTTGAAAAATTTATTTATATGCAATACATACCAAATAAGTACTCACATAGCACATGCATAAATAATTTCTCAGAATGACTGATACACAGAACAAAATTATTAAAACTAAGAGTAAGAAAAACATAATTCAATCTCTTTCCAATCCCTAAATGAGTTTAGTTGGTGACAGATAGACTCAGGTAAAAGATAAGCTAAAATTACTTCTTAAAAACAACAACAACAAAAATGCTGAGAATGACTAATAACAGGAAAATACTACAAATGTTTTGGCTTAGATAATAATCTGAAATTTTTTTTTTATAATCTATTCTGTGAATCTGAATAAGAAAAAAAAATTTCCAGCCATAACTTGTAATGTACTATTATGGATAAAACGCCACTATGTGGTTGTTTTTTTTTCCTCCTCAATTATTTCATGTAATACCAATTACTTACAATTTATGGGGGACCAGTTTAAATTTCATTTTAAATTTTTACTATGATTAAGTGGGAAAAAAGGTAATGTTACAATAGGCAACCACAGAATGCAGATTTTAATTTCTTAAGATAGTCACACTAGAGTGGGCACTATATCCAATTACTCAGTGCCCTTTACAAGGTGAAGATAAACAGACAGGCAAGGCTATATAAAAATGGAGCAAACTTGTATAGGAAGCTACAAGTTAAGGAATGCCAAAGATTGCCAGCAACTACCAGAAGCCAGGCGGCGGGTATGTTGTTTTTAGGTTATCTAGTTTGCAGTTTCTTTTGCTATAGCTGTTACAGAAAAACTAACAGTCAGGAAAGAATGTCTAGAAAAAACATCAGAGATAAGATCTACTAATTAAAACAGTCTGGAGGATAGTTACTTAGCAGGTAGGTAGAAATTTTCATAGTTTAGTTCCAAGGTAGAGTAGTCAGAAAGCTCCTGTAAAGCAAAGCAATTCCTATCCTAAGGCTTACTATGGTTCCACACATAAAATTTAAAAGCAAAAATTAAAAGATAATACAACTTTAAAGAACTAAAATATATGCCAGAACAAACCTCAAGAATATTTATGGGAATATATCAATGCACTCTTAATGCTTTGCATCCATTCAAAAATTACCAGGTATGTGACTAATAAATACAACTCACAATGACAAGAAAATTTACACAACACAAACACACCAAGAAGAATCATACACGATAGAACGTACAACTAAAGACCACAAAACATAAAAGAACATGTAGAAATATGGGAGACATAAGAAAGGCATGTCTGAGTGCACATCTGTGTAGAAAAGCATATCTAAAAAGAAAATAAAACAAAATACATTATTTCTTCAAATTTTGAGACAGCCTATAAAACCAATGCATGCCAGATGGTAGTAAAGCCAACTTTTGAGCAGCTCATGGGAAGAGCTGAGATAATGTTCTCAACTGAGTAAAAGTATTTTTTAAAAGCACAAGTGAAATAAAGATATTTCTAGAAATAAAAGTTGAAGGAATTTGTTGCTCATAAACCAGGACATGTCAAATAAGATCCTTCATGGAAAAGTAATAATGGCACAGTAGGAAAGTGTTGATACAACAATGGAATAAAAAGCACTGTAAATAATACCAAAATTTAATATAAGAGATTTATTTTGAATTCTTCCAAAGAAGAATGTATAGATAAGGAAGCTATATGCAAAATGCACAGAGGTTGATCTTTGGGAGACAGATGTAGAGGAGATGAGATATAGTGGTACGTCTAAGAGTTCAATGACAGTTGTGCTCCGTTTATGTACAGCCTGAATGATTGGTGGCTGATTTTTATGCTATCTTATAATATTATTCCCAGAAACATGAATTGGCCTATATTCTACTTCTGAGATTGGAGGAATTTTAATCTGGGTATTCCACTGTTGTAACAGATCTCAGCCCCAAAGATTCACAGCTACATTTGCCACATATGACTTCAGTCTTCCTCTTTGTCCTTCTGGTCCTATGCATTCAACCCATCTTGAACTTTGTTCTATCTGAGATAGGGTTCCAATCCCTAAAACTTTGACATCTACCTCTTGAAGAGGCCAATTTGGACACCATGATTTTGGTGTAATTATAGTAACATCCTCACCTGTGTCCACTAGTCCTTCCAGGACAATGTTGCTAATTTGCACTCTAAGCTTTGGTCTTTGTTCATTTATGGAAGCTGTCAAAATGTTTGTTTTATGGTGGTTTTTTTTTTTTTCATTTTTGATCCATCTATCAAAGTTGTTCTATTATCCAGTGCAGTATTGTTCTTTACATTAGGCACTGGGTTATTTAATTTCCTGGGGAGGAATTTCCTCAACAGTGATTGGAAATGTTTGGACTACGTTTGATATGAGGGCCTGAGGTGTTTCCCACTGGTAAAGGGTTGCCTAGTATGTCCCTTGTTGATCTGCATTAATTGGTCCAATGTCGGCCTTTGCCACATATTCTGCATAATCCAAAAGGTTGGGGTCTCCTGTCTTGATTATTTCTAGAAGAAGCATTGCTTCTAGAAGCACCCTGTGTACAATTTCTTCTTATATGACCTTCTTGATAACCACAGTTAAAACATTTGGTATTTTGAGGCCTCCTTCTACCTATTAGAAGTTGTGGTGGCCATCCTGGGAATATCTGGACAAATTAAGAGTGACAATACTCCAGCATATGTCTCAAATAAAATGAGACAGTTTTTTTTGTGTGTATTATAATATAAAGCATATTAGAGGTTTAATAACAATCCCACAGGCCAAGAAGTCATAGAAAGATCCAATCAAACTTCAAAAGATATGCTAAATAAACAGAAAGAGGTAGCAATCACCCCTAGAAATATATTATATAATGCTTAATTAACTTTGAATTTTCTCAGTGCTGATGAGAAAGGGACAACAGCTGTGGAGAAACATTGGACAACAGAAAAACTCCTGAGCTAAACCAACCGGTTTACTTCAAAGATGTGTTGACCTCAGAATAGAAACCTGGATACATCTTATGTTGGAGAATGGGTTTTGCTTTTGTTTCTGCAGAAGAAGAGCCATGGATTCCAACAAAATTAGTAAAAATTTGCTTTGAACAGGAGAAAGCCCTTGATGAGAAGTAACAATTCATCTACCGATGTGACAACTCTACAAGTTGTAAGAAAAACTCAAAAAACAGGAGTTGGGGCAGCGTTCTGTTTTTTGTCTTTACAGGATAACAGAAATACCCATTTTCAAGAAATCATAAGGCCCTGGACACCAAGACTTCTACCTCATAAAGGAAGGACCTATTGCTACCAATATACTCTACAGGGTAATACCTTAATGCCTAACATCAATATCTCTTTAACCCTAGAACAGCTGTGGTCCCGATTCAATTATAAATCAAGCTGGCTTTGGAGTTGGAATGTAGCTTTCTCCTTCTCTAAACCCAAGCACATCACTAAAAGAAAAATTAGGAAATTCTGTCTCATATCAGAAGCCAACTGGTGTAAGACATAAGAAAACCAATAATTTGGGACCATTGTTGTCAAGATTCTACTTCTTCCCATGCTTATCCTTGATTTCCGGAAATCTTTCCTTAAATCACCTTAAATCCAAACTTTCCATTTTGATATTAATAATGTTCAAGTTTTCCACAATGAAAAATAGGTCTTTCCAATTGCAATCTCTGAAGTCTCCAGAAGGAAGATGACTCTACTCAGTCCAGAAGGATGTCATTGTGCCTAAGAACATTACTCAGTGATCAGCCTTGGACTAATAATTCCTCAGGACAGTTCAAAGATGAGATGGTCCATTATACTACTTCTAGTCAGAATCTCAGACAACCTTACCCATTACTCTGAGACTGGCTGCAGATTCTATAGCTAGTGCTATTGAGACCAAACTATCTTAACTTTCTTACAGGACCCACAGAGATACTGTTGCCCCTAAACAGCAGGAAGCAATTCTAAGAAAACGATGCCCCTCTCCCAAAGTTTTCATTTTTTTCAGGGTTATGGTTATAGGGTTGGCGGTGGAACAATAAAATTTAGACTCAGTATCTCCTTTAGAAAAGAAAAAGGGGGATAGTAGATATAGTATATTAAGGCAGATTATTATATCTACTAGTAAACTGATGTAGCAAACTATCAGCCTTGGATAATTTACACTGATATAGATTCTTGTATATTTGATACAAATGCAAACTATTCTTATATTCCTATTTAAGATAATTTGTATATTGATACAAATACAAAACTATATTTGTTGTATTGTACATATATTTCTACTCTTGTTTGAAATATTTTGTATACTGATACAAATGTAATATTATATGTATCATACTGCATGTATGTTTTACCTCTGTTTAGGATATTTTATGTATTGATACATATTATGAATATTGTCATATTGCATACTGCACTACACATTTCTACCTCTGTTTAAGATATTTTGTGTATTGCCACAATTTTGAGGTCAGATTGTTTATCTTGTTAATGTGTAGCCTTCGTCCTTAGGTTACTCAGGCAGATAAGACTTACAGAACTATAGTCACCCTTGCTTGTCATTTCTATAGTTATGTTAGTTAGGGTCTCCAGATTTACAGAAACAATTGTCAGATGGATAGGTAATCTTCAAACACTTTATTGACCTAGAGAATATGGCATTTAAATGTTTTGATAACTTAGAATTCTGTTGACACGACACATGATTGCTTCTGGCAGCACTGATCTGATCCCGAGAGAATGTTGGGTTACTAAGACATTTCTGTTTGGAATTTTGTCTTCTTCTTGGTATAAAATGACCTGCTGGACAAAGAAATGCCCTTGCATTGACTGCTGACAGTATGAATGCTGTCCTTTCCGGACAAGCAGGACACAAGGAAAAGTGACTACTGAACTCTGCCAAGACAGGGTAAGATGGTTATTTTAAAATTCCAGCTTCTGAAAATAGTCAGTCAAATAGTCTAGGCCTGTAGCCAAATTGGATGCCCCAACAATGCTGAGAAACTTTAGGTGACTACCCAGGCTGCCAGCTGTCTCTGTCTATTCTTGAAATAATTTCGGAAATTGCTTGCTTGCATTTTCCATTTTCTCAGGTATTATCTTCCTTCTCAGGTCTTTGATGAAGACTAGATAGTTACAGTTACAATCTTCTCGTATCTCAGCTAGAACATATTAAGTACTAGAGTTAGAATCTTCAAGATAGGACAGCTATTGGAATAATCTTGGTAATTTGCCATTTACCTATGATCTGGACATTTCTGGACATTTAGCATGTCTTTCTTGTTTGATGTTGTTCTTGTTGGTTGTAGTTCCATTTTTGTTTATGTATTACCCCTTGTTTTTCCTGGACAACACTTGGTAATCAATAGTTTGCATTAAGTTTAGAACCTTCTTATTTAGACAAAAAGGGGAATGTAGTAGTATTTGCTCCGCCCATGACCTTGGGCTATAGGGCCTGAAAGAGGCGGTGATTCTTGTCATTGTATGTGACCTCTTAAAAAGTAAGGGAGAAGGATCATGAGCCCCTTCTCCCTGCTGCCTGCTTCCTGGTGTGAGTGAACTGCCAGGTGGATTGCTCCTGGTCAGATCAGGACTTTAGCTGTCTACTCTGTTCTGTATTTGTGAGTATATTTCCTCAATTTACCCTAATAAATTTCCGTAATATGCCTTAAGCAGATTTCTGTGGATTTATTGCATTAATGAAACAAAGAGAAAAATCATAACATTATCGATTTACATTACATATATCAACAATTATATTAAAAGTAAATGGATAAAACACCTCATCTAGAAGATTGAAAAGACAAAAAAGATCCAATTGTAATATACTCTATAAGAAATCTTCATTAAGGCAGAGAGACAGGAAAACAGTAAAGTGCTAGAAAATATATATACATTACATCACAGCAAAAAGATTGCCGGACAGCCTGCATTAACAGAAAACAGTTCACTTCTGAACAGATGATTCAAAAAGCCCATTTCATAGTGATAAAGGGATTAATTCATCAAGATGCCACAACAATCTTATATGTTTTGTGGCTTAAAAAAAAACACATGAATTAAAAATTACCAGAATTGCAAGGAGAAATAGACAAACTGACAAGGCTAGTCAGAGGCTTGAACATTTTTCTCTCAGCATTATTTCATAAAGTAGATAAAAATCACTCAGGACATGAAGGCAATACTATTACAATCTTTGCTTTAGAGGTTTCAAGCACGACTGTAAACATATATGCCAGAAAAAAATGTTTATTCTAAATAGTATACGTAACTTTATGAGTATATTGAGATCTCAGTAAAGCTGTTGAAAAATTAAGTATAAACTAAAGACCTTCTGGAGCATTAATGATGACTTAAAGTCTTAAGTCAAAAAACAGAATGGAAAAAATGAAGAATTTCATACCTTGTAAACACTGGAAGTTGTGACTGAATAACTTGGACTCTAACCACGACAAGTAACAATGTACTGAACATCAAGACAATGAGCTTTATTAGTGTCTGCAGCATAGAGAAGGGAATACTACCCTTTCCACGGAGAAACTGTCCAGCAACTGTACATAACAGCGGCAAAGTATACTGAAAAGAAAAAACAGTTTCAGTAACAAATACCAATCATGTTAACGCAGTAATTCTAAATGTAAATAATTAGAACCAAAGTGAGAACAATTGTAAAATAATGTAGTGCAATTTGTGGAACTGATAAGGAGTGAGACTAATCTTGGTAACCTCTGCAAATACTGAGCTGCCCTGCCACAGTATCATTGGAACTTCTACAAACTGTCTAAAGATTCTAGTCCTTAAAACATGAAGGGGCCATAACATTTTAACAATCTTTTGATGGGTAAGAAGACAAAATACACTTGTTTCTTATAAATTTTGCTATCCTTATAGGAAGCAGAATCTTTTATATGTAGTGATATACATAAAGAATTAGGTTATTAAAATCTGACTTAGCTAGCACGAAAAAGAAAGTGAAAAATTACATTTTCCCTTACTTACCCCTTGGGCAACAAATACTTCATACACACAACAAATCCCGACGACCGTTACTCCTTGTTCTTTACACAGTGTAGCGACAGCCACTAAAAGCACTGTCAAAGCAATCGGGGTCCACACTACAATTTAAGAGTAGAAAAAATAAATCTATACAGAAGTTCTACAATGTCACAAAAGTATATTTTAAATTATTCCAAAACTTCTTATCAATATTTGTTTCTTGTTGACCAATGCCTTATATTTTATGATACATTAAAACTGTGCACCTTTTATACTATATCGTCAAAGCAAAATATCAAGATGCATAATTTAATTTACAGAGTTTTGTGGAAGAAATTATGTAGGCTAATATTAACTCTTAAAATAAAGATAAATTTGGATAAATTAACAAGGCTGAACACGGTAATTAGTGAACAATCAACCAGACATGAAGACAAATTATCTGGAATTCTACAGGTACTAGCAAAGATACGGAGGAACTAGAACACTCTCAGTGTTGGCGGTGGGAATGTAAAGATTCCTTAAAAATTAGTAACTGGCTGGGCGGTGGTGGTGCACGCCTTTTAATCCCAGCACTCGGGAGGCAGAGGCAGGTGGATCTCTGTGAGTTCGAGGCCAGCCTGGGCTACAGAGTAAGATCCAGGACAGGGACCAAAACTACACAGAGAAACCCTGTCTCGAAAAACCAACAACAAAACAAACAAACAAACAGGAGCTACAGATGCAAGCATCACCAACAGAACACAGGAGATAGAAGAGAGACTCTCAGGTGCTGAAGATACGAGAGAAGAAACACATACGTTGGTCAAAGAAACGGTTCTTTCTGTGAAATATTCCCAACATAAAACATCCAGGAAATCTGGGGCACTACGAAAAGAACTAACCTGAGAATAACAGGACTAACAGGACTAGAAGGAAGGAGAAGATTCCCAGCTCGAGGGCCCAGAAAACACTTTTAACAAAATCAAAGAAGACGTTTTTCTTAACGTAAAAAAGGACATGCCTATAAAAGTAAAAGAAGCTTACAGAACTCCAAATAGATTGAGTCAGAAAAGAAAGTCCCCGTGCCACATAATAATCAAAACAATAAACACACAGAACAAAGAAAGAATATTAGGAGCCACAAGAGAAAAAGGCCAAGTAACATATATAGGCAGACCTGACTTCTCAATGGAGACTCTAAAAGCCAGAAGGGCCTGGACAGATGTGGTACAGACTCGAAGAGACCATAGACAGCAGTCCAGACCACTATACCCTGTGGGGCGTTTACCCAACCACCCCCACAGTTCCCCAGAGTTTTCTTGAGTGCGAGCAGCAGGAAATATTAGATAGAAGGATTTATTGCAGAGAATATCACGGAGATAAACAGATAGAAAATAAAGGATAGCCTCGAGAGGGCCTGGAACCTATTCCAACGGCCCCGACTGTCTCTGCCCCAGGGTTTTTATAGAGATGCCAAGGGGTGGAGCAAAAGACCCCCTCCCCCAGCACAGCCAAGTGCAGACCATCCCAGACACCTGCACTCAGGCCCGTGGTCCTAATCATCCTCTATGCGGACCTGCTGGGTAAAGCCACGAGGAACCCAAGAACGGGCTCCCACAGGTCCCCCTTTCTTAATATATAAAAAAATAACTATTAATGGCTTACAGCAATCTCCATAGCTGTTACACCTCCCAGTATGGGAGTAGAGGATGATAAAGATGGCATTTCTCTTTTGAATTAGGACCAAGGTGACCACAGCGGTCTTAGCTGCCTCAAGCCCTTTCTAAGCCAAAAACTCTTAAGGTGACTACAAACTTAAAGAATCCCTTAGCTTCATCATTACCATTAACAGGTTAACATAAATATTGCTATACATAGTCACAATTCTCCCAATCTTACAACACAAAGCAAACTCTTAACAGAACCATTTGAATTAGCATATATGGTGCTATATATAGTTAATTTTCTCCGTCTTACAACATTAACTCAATCATTTGAATTTTCTTGCTAACAGAACATAGGAAAAACTTCGATGTATTCACATCAAACTTAAATATTTCCTTAACTCCACAAAATCAGGGTGCATTAATATCAATAGGGTAAATATAATTTCTTAAACAAAATCCCAAACCTAGTTAGAGGAACCCAAACTCATACAATTCCTACAAACCCATATTGAAAAGCAATCTTCTCAATCTAACCATTAACACTTTGAAAACTTAGCAAAACATCCAAAAGCAGTTTCTTAATAAAACTCTTTACACTTTAAAAGCAGTCTCTTAATATACCCCATCTGCATTTCTTACTAACAAAAACATGACATTAATCCACTCAAACAACTTTTGAAATTAGACTAAGGAATATTAACTCTCCCCCTTTTCTTTATAATTTTTTAAGCAAAATCTCAAACCTAGTTAGAAAACCCAAACTTTTCCATTTAAACAGTTCCATTTATAACACAATACCAGTTCTGTAAACAGTTCCACAAAACAATTCATGAATCACCAATTAATAAAGCATATATGCATACACAAAACTGCATCTTGATTCTAGGTAGAAATAAATTTCTTCATTTAAACAGTTCCATTTTTAACCCAATTCCAGAAAACAGTTCCTAGGTCATTACTATGAATAAACTCAAAATTGTCCCATTGCAATGAAATCTCTACTGTTCATTTCATTTCTTAAGTCCCAAAATTCAAATGATAAATTCTGGTAGAAGCCTTCCAAATATGAAGAAATCCATAACCAAATTCTTTTTGTAATTTTATCTCATTTTAAGTTCAAAAAGTTCAAACAAGAAATAAATTCTAGTATCAGGCTTTCACTTCCAAATATGAAGAGACGTTTTTCAACCAAAACTTTTTGCAGTTAACAATTTTTGTTCAAACAAGTGTCTCTGAACTTTTATTCTCAAGCCAGAGACCTTTTTAGGTACAGTAGTATTCTAAACTGCACCGTTTTTGATGTTAGCTCAGGTTTTTCTGTGTTGCGTTGATTTTCCACGGATCTCAGCTGTGGATGCCTTGTGCTGGTTCTGGCGTCCGCCATTCTTAGCTTCTTAGCGGCTTCTGGAACTTTTGAAACCATTCAGACTGCCTACTTTGCAGTCTGCTAGGACACTAACTCTGTATCTCAGGTTTTTTCATCATATACATTAAGCATAGACTCACTTAACATTTACACTTTTTTACAGACTCACACATAACATTTTTTGGAAAGCATTTAGACTCACATTCAACATTTACATGTTTTTACAAACTCACATATAACATATCATCTACTTATACTCCTTAAGGAAACTATAGAACTACTTTAGCAAATATATTTCTTATTACTTCTTATATATTTCTTATATTCACTCCATCTTATTCTTATTTAAACTTACATTTACAACTAGCATCTTTACTTCTTACAAGCTTATTACTATATGTCTTAAGACTACATTAGATACTTCTTGCAAGCTTATATTCTTAAAGGAACTCTATAGATCTATTTTACAAACTTATATAGGGCTACCATTAGCATATATTTAACTTAGCAAACACCTAAAGATTTCTTAACACAGAGATCTAACAAGAGAATTTTTACAAACTCACATATCTTATTTTCATCTTTTTCTATTTCTTACTCTTAATTATTATTACTATCTCTATTAGATTCTCTTAACTAGACAGGAAGTACGTACATCATTTCTAAAGTTGAGTTTATAGTCAGCTTTGTTATAAAGCACTGGGATTTAGTGAGTGTTGTTGTTATAGAATTGTGATAGTTGTTGCTAGGGGACTGTAACATCTTTGGGACGAAGCCACACTCCAAAGTTGCCAGTTCTCTCAGCCGTTCCGGACTGGCAGAGATGCACTGTCAGCGGTAAACGGTTTTTAACTAGAGGCTGTCCCTTCACCCAAATTCATAATAGTTCCCCGAAGTGCTTCAATTCAGATAAACGTTTCTATTACAGCAGTACTTTTGGTTTGCTCTACCGAAAAACTTCACTTCACACTGAGGGTGAAATTACTGTATTTAGCTTCTGTAAAGTTCTTCGCCAAATACTGCACAGCTATTAGGTGATATAAAGTATTTTTCTAAAGGAGCTAGTAAAGCCACAAGTGGCACAGCTCCGAACTGTATTTAGTATTTTCACTTCATTAGCTTTAACTCCTGATGTTATTAGCAGCTGTAATATTTAGCATTGATTTCTTATAGGGAACTTTCAGGTTAAGCAACTCTTTTGTAAGACAGCTAGATTTTCTGAAGTTGTTTCCCATCTATAAAGCAGTCATTTCTTTTTGAATGCCTGTTTCTTATCCCCTTAATTAGATTTGCAAAGGAATCACTCATTGCAGGCTGTTTGTTCAAGACGTAAATAATTTTCAATTTCACATAAGTTTCTTCGTATCTTAGATAACGTTCAGTGTATAAACTGCTCTCTTGCTTTCTTAAGGATTTTAAAGTGGCTTGTTTGCTCTTAAAGGTAGCTTTTTGTCATCCAACTACCGTAAAAACTTTGCACAGCTATTAGGGTAAATAAGGCATTTTACCAATGGAGCCCCAAACCGTGAAGCACCTAGTTCCATATCCTTTCAATTTTTCCAATGGAACTGACACTTAAACTCTTAGATGATTTTCCTCCTTATTCTTTTAAAAGCTGTATTTTAAGTTTATCATGAATGTATTTTTGAGCTGACAAAATTGTTTCAGGGCAATGTCACCATCTTTAGCAGAAAAACTACCTTTCCCAGAATGCATTTCCCTTATATCAGTCCATAATAATATCAGTTCCTTATATCATTTCCCATATCAGTCATTTCCCATAGTTCTTTTCGGGTCTGAGAGTCAACTGGTTCTCTTTTACCAGACTTGCTTACAAATTCTTGCCCGGGAGGTTTGAACAAGCATTTTACATTTTCAATTATGGGACATTGGGAGGTTTCTGGTCTCTCAGCTGGCTTTAACAGGTGTCTCTCCTTCATTTGACACTGGCCCCCAAATCAGAACTGCACTTGCCTCGTTAGCCGGCATTGAGGCTGGCATTTCTGATAGCAACTTTCCTTGGGGCTTGTGTTTGTCTTAGCCAGTCAGTGAAAAACAAGATCATGTACAACAGCTTTTCCATAGCTCCTTCAGAGAGATTTTCTCCCACTGATCTATCTCATTTTGCTTGTTCCTTCCTTCCCCAGATGCAGAGCTTCAGGTATCTGTCTGCGGCTCTGTTCCTCTGCTAGCTGCTTTTGGAGGTAGGGGCTTTCTTCCTCCCCCCGAATCTGCCTCAAATTCTAGCAGCTTTTTCAGGTCACATATTTTCTGGGGAGGATTATGTCCCTTCTGTTTCTTCGGAGTCTTTTTCCCAGACAGTTCCCAGTTTGGTCTCAGTTTGTCCCCTCTACCTCAGAAACAGTTTCCGACACTACAGTGGCGGCTTTCCCCGCTACTGAAGGTAGGGGCTTTTTGTCCGTTTGTTTTCGGGGTCTGTGTGGTTTGCACACAGACTGAAAAATCTAACAAGGGAGGTTTTTGCCATTTCTAAACTCCCATTAGGACAGGTGTTTTGCTTCATCAGGCCTTCACCTGGCCCAGTCCCCCAGTGGGTTGCATTTGCTTGTCTGGGTGCTCAAGGACAGAGCTTATGCCAGAGGCAATCACCCCTCAGGGCTACACTCCCCCTCTCACCCGGAGTTAGTTGAAACAAAGCTTTTCTCAAAGAGCTGCTTTCTCTGACAGAAAAGAAAGCTTTGCTCCTGGTTAGTTCTGTTCTGCCTTGGCTGGGCTCTTTCCCCAGACAGCGTTCTGACTCAGCAGCACAACTGCTTCAGACACAGTTCAGCTTTACTGTTTTCTCAGAAAGGTCCTTACTCTGAAAGGAAAGGTTTTTCTCAGATGTCTTTTTGCAGCTGTGGACCTATCAACCCGGGACTTGTAGGAAAGCAGACAACTGTGCTGTTTCCACTGGCTTTAGCTTTGGTTGTTCATTAGCAATCTTCCCCTGGGTCCTGCACCTTCCTGCCTCAGCTCTGTGCTCCAGGAAGTTTGCAACTGCAGGAACCCTAGTTTCCCCGAAATGCATTCCAACTCAGAGACACTGGCCAGTCGCCTCTGGGTTTTTGGTCAGAATTGAGGATACAACGCTAACAGTTTGCACTGCTTCAGGGGATCTTTGCATTAGGACGATTAGCATTCTGAAATGCTCACTCAAACAAAACCCTTGATGCTTCAGCTTGGTTGTAACTGAAAAGCTTGGCTTTTTTGCTTTTCTCAGGTAAAGTTTCCTGCCTTTTTGGGCTCTCCATAGCTCTTTACCCACACTCTCCCAAGTGTTTCCCTCAGGGTACTCTGACCCACTGTCTTTTACCAGCTTGAAGAGACAGAGCTTAGAAGAGGTTTTTAGGAACTTGTCCCTGCCTCCTGCATTGCAGGGAGGATTTTTAAAGCTTGAAAGAGAACTTAGGTTTTGCTGTCTTAAGAGGTTTGTTGTTTTCCCTTAGAGCTAATCACAGGTGGTCCCCACACTAATATCTTCAGGTGATTCTAATTTTTGTCCTGAGAGAGTGAGTTCTGAAAGGCTTTAGTTTTTAAGTTTGAGAGCTTTTGAGAAAGATTAAGGCTTTTTAGAGAGATTTTCCCCCCAAATTTTCCAAGAAAAGCTTTTAGTTTAAGAGAAAGATTTTTTTCCCCAAGAGAGAAAGACCAACTTTTCCCAAAACTTCCCAACTTTAAACTTTTTGGCTTTTTACACCCCCATTTTTGCCTCAGGGAGAAATCACTTTCTCCTGCCACTTGGACTTAGCATTTCAGCTGTCCCCAGGTCAAAAGCTTCCATAGGAAACTTTTTCTTCCCCATAAGCTCAAAGAAGAGTTTTACTACCCGTAAAGCCCAAAGAAAGATTTTTTTCCCCCAGTTTGCATTCATAGCCCCCAAAGTTAGAAAATTGAAGAGTTTTTCTGTCTAGTTGCCTTATTTTTTCCTACACAATCTTACACTTCTAAGTTTTTCCTAAACTATATTACTACCCTATGCCTTATACTTATTTTTCACAGATAGAAATTGAGAAAGGGATACAAGATAGAAAATTTTGACAGAAGAGAATTTCGCTGCAGCATTGGACATCCTTCCAGTCTGCTTTCCTTTTCTCTCGAGGATAAAACCCCTGCCTCTCAATATATATAAAAAATATATATTTTTCATAACACCGGCATGCCTTATTCACTGGCAGGGCTGACTCAGCACTTTCGCCAAAAACTCTGTAATAAAACTATTATTTTCCTTTATCTTTAGTCCCTATTACTTTGTCTTTAGTCCCTGTTCATTTGTCTTTAGTCCCCCCTTTTTTAGTCCTTTTTTCTTTAGTCCCTTTTTTTTCTTTTTTCTTTAGTCCCTGTTCATGGCGCCATTCTGTGGGGCGTTTACCCAACCACCCCCACAGTTCCCCAGAGTTTTCTTGAGTGCGAGCAGCAGGAAATATTAGATAGAAGGATTTATTGCGGAGAATATCGCGGAGATAAACAGATAGAAAATAAAGGATAGCCTCGAGAGGGCCTGGAACCTATTCCAACGGGTCCGACTGTCTCTGCCCCAGGGTTTTTATAGAGACGCCAAGGGGTGGAGTAAAAGACCTCCTCCCCCAGCACAGCCAAGTGCAGACCATCCCAGACACCTGCACTCAGGCCCGTGGTCCTAATCATCCTCTATGCGGACCTGCTGGGTAAAGCCACGAGGAACCCGAGAACGGGCTCCCACAATACCCAACAAAACTTTCAATCACCATAGATGGAGAAAACAAGATATTCTATGATAAAGTCAAATTCAAACAATATCTATCCACAAATCCAGCCCTACAGAAGGTGCTAGAAGGAAAACTCCAACCCAAGGAGGTTAACTACACCCATGGAAACACAGGCAATAAATAATCTCATGCCAGCATGACCCAAAGGAGGAAAACTCTCTCTCTCACTACCATCAACTACAAAAACAATAACAGAAATAAACTATCATTTGTCATTGATATCTTTCACTATCAATGGACTCAATTCCTCAATAAAAAGACACAGACTAAAAACAGAATGGATGCGAACACATGATCCATCATCCTTCTGATCTTGCCTCCACCTCCCCAGTGCCGGGGCTGTAGGTCTATGCCACTATGTTCAGTTTTATGGAATGCAGCGGACTGAACCCAGGGACTTGTCAATGCTCAGCAAGAACTCTTGCCAATGAAGCTAGATCTCCAGGTCCCATGAAGTCCACTTAGAGATATGAAATATTCATATTCATAGTACCTTGGTATTCTACATTGAGATGCTACCACCAAAGGAAAGCAGGGAAAAGCTTGAGAATTTAACTTAACTAAATACATGTTAAGATTGTCTAGGAAGCTTTTTTTCTGTCCGCTATGCCCATACCCTTGGGGGGGAAAAAAAAAAGGTGAGCTAATGTATAAAATAGATTCTAGAGTAAGATACATCCTAAAGAAATATTTTATTATGATGATACACAAAGTTAAATTCTAGCAGGCTTGGAACTTTGCCTAAAAAGCATCACGAGCCATTAGCTATTATTTATCAAAGACAACTAAAGGGTTGGGGCAATGGCTGAGAGGCTAACGTGCTTGCTGTACAAGCCAGAGGACCACAGTTCAAATCCTGGGAACCCATGTAAAGGCAGGCACAGCTGCATGCATGCGATACCTTTGCTACTACAGCAAAATGGAGACAAGAAAATTCCCAGAAGCTGGTGGCCTAGTACACAGCAGTGAACGAGTCTCAGGGTGGAAAGTGAGGAGCAATACCAGTGGTTCTCCTCTGAGAGACACAAGTGTGTGCGTACTCCAACACACACACATGTACATACATGTGCACATACATATACATACAACTGAAGAATTGGTACTTGCATTTTTTTTATAAGAAAAAAACATGAAAGTCAGAATGACTCTGAAACTGTTATTTTAGGGCTATTTGATCATAGACCAGAATCTGCTGGGTAATGACAAAATATAAACTACATATATTTTTTTTAATATTGACACTGTTATGTCTTATAATTTTACAAATGCTAAAGCAGAACACTAAAGGCAGACCCCAAATGTTGTCTTAATTATGAAGCACTTGGAATGAATAAATAAATTTACTTGATCAAGTTTCATAACTACAATAAAAAAGGTAGGTAGACACTCACCTATGGAATTATCCGGTCCTTTTGATTTGGTATACGACAGAAATGCAGCTAGAAAGAAGACAGACGACAAGAGCTCAGCTCTCCCTACAACCCCCGTCACCTGGAACACACGACAGGACACCATGTTAGTGCAGTTCTGAGAATCTACTGTGTATAGTAACAGCTCAAAACCCCAAACCTCCCTACAACCCCCGTCACCTGGAACACACGAAAGGGCGCCCATGTTAATGCAGTTCTGAGAATTTACTATGTACAATAAGAGCTTAAAACCTAAAACCTCAATTTTTCAAGAGCAGATTTCTTTTTTTAACACGTGAGCGCCCTCATGTGGTAAATTTAGGTATCATTCATAAAAAACCTATCAGAAATTCTTGTAAGTAGGTCATTATTTTAACTTGGCAAAATATTTAGTTTTTGTGTATTCTTTACCATCTTTCACATAATTATAGCATTTTATGCAATTACAAAACAATATATAGATGAGTTATTTAAAAATCTAAGTCTCCTTGCATTATTTTCTTAACATGAGTGTTTTTTTAAAATATGAAGCTATAAATTTGATATTCTGCAAACTAAAGAAATTTCAAAAGCTCTTTTAACTAAAAAACCACAACATTCCCAAATCTTGCCTTCTAAAGGAATAAAACCCAATGTACAACTTAAAGCAATTTATCTCTTTTGTACGTGAATGGAAAAACTGAGCTGGATACCACATGGTTTCAGAACAGTAAGACAGAGAAAATCATTCTGCAAAACCAAACCAAACCAAAAAACCAAAAACCAAAAACATTTTTGCTTAGGAAGAAAAGCTTATAGGAAAGCAGCTAAATAGAGTAGTCTTTTTTCTTCCCTGGAAGGCAGTTTTAGTATCAATGTAGCCAAGACAAATTATTTTGGATATCATATTAAGAAGTATGTTCATTTGTATTTTTCACTAATAACATTAAGAGATTTTATATATATAATATACAATAATATATAATCTGTTGATAACATGTATTAACACATACATAACATATATATTATCAATGTTGGGTGTCTTCTTCCATTGCTCTCTAGTTTTATTTCTTTTTCAAAGATTTATTTTATCTTATATGTACAAGTGTTCACATGTTAAGTGCACAGTGCATGCCTAATGCTTGAGAGGCCAGAGGAGGGTGCTACATTTTCTGGAACTGGAATTAATGAAGGTTTACGTGGCCATGTGGCCGCTAAGAACCAAACCTGGGTCTTCTGCAAAAGCAGCAAGGGCTCTTAACCACTGGACCATCTCTCCAGCCAGCCCCTCTAGGTCGCTGTCTGGAAAAAGGTTCTCTCAATAAGCCCAGAATTCAAGATCAGCTGGCTCAAACCCCAGAGATCCTCCTGACTCTGCCTCCACACTGTGGGATTACAGGTATCTGCTACCACACTTGGCTTTTCACATGGGTGCTGATGATACAAACAAGTACACACTTGTGATGTGGTGATCACTTCACCTATACATACATTCTTGAATGAACACTGTTCCCAAAACTACCTTAAATTTAAAATTTTTATATAATCGGTAAGATGGACTTTGCGCATGGGGAAGAGTACGACTGTACTAAAGCAGGAATATTTAAATGCCTAAGATTTAAAAATCATTTACAGTTCTACTTACCGCTTCTGTATGGATTGGGTGTACTGCAAAGAGCAGAGCCGCAATGACACTGCTCCTCTTGTCCAGGAAAAGTTTGCAGACCTTAAGAAATATCACACTAACAACAGCATGGAAAACCGTGTTTAGGAGATGATAAGACATGGGCTTTAGTTCGCTAAGTAGGTAATTTAAGCGAAATGTCAGCACTGTTAAGGGCCTGTAGGACTTGTGGCTTCTCTCCTAAAAGGAAAAACAACCACTGATTATTAAAATACCTCAGAACTTCAGGCCACAACAAGCAGTCATTGTTTGATTATTAAGGTAATGATCAAAGAGTTACACACACAAAAAAATTATGCTTCTCACTAGAAGGATCAAAGCATGAACAGGTTCTTGATTGGGGGAATGGGTACAAGTCGTAAATGATGACTGGGAAATAGACTGTGGGGAATATTACATATTAAGTTTCGAAATAGTTTACTCAAAAGTGACTTGACAGGCACTGTAGATAAACGCATTCATTTATGTATCCTCAAGGTATCATTGGTTTTTATAGATCAGGGAAATGTTTTACTATCTAAAAGCTGCAGTTCATTTCACATAGCTAATGAATGACAGACCTAAAATTAGGATATACAATCCAAAAATGAAAAGGGTATAATCCTAAATAAGTTAACATCGACTTTAAAAATGTTTTTAAATAAACTTTTTTCTTATTGCAAAGAAATAGGCAATATGTACTTATTTTTAAAATCTAATATATTTATATTGAATTTACCATGGTATTTTTTTGTTTTGTTTTGTTTTTTGTTTTTTTCAAGACAGGGTTTCTCTATGTAGTTTTGGTGCCTGTCCTGGATCTCACTCTGTAGACCAGGCTAGCCTCGAACTCACAGAGATCCGCCTGGCTCTGCCTCCCGAGTGCTGGGATTAAAAGGCGTGCACCACCACCGCCCGGCTGAATTTACCATGTTTTAATGGCAAAATTTATCAGTCATTTCTGTTGCCTGACTCACAAGACAAGAAAAGTAGCAAGAAAAAGACCTGTAGCAACACCTGCTGCCCTCCCTACAAATGTGTATTATTCCCACACAGAAACAGTCATTTTAGCAAAGTGCGTCAGGGTACACTGCCAATGACGCGAATCCTGTTTTCAAGACAAGGGAGTTGTCGACACAGACACATTCATAACTGCACTAGTTTTTTGGGGGGAAATTATTTTCAAGCATTTGAAAAAAATATGGAAACTGATTTTCTTATTTTAGTTTGATTTTTTAATAAGAAATTTTATTCATTTTACATATAAACTGCAAATCCCCCTCTCATCCCTTCTCCTGCTCCCCCTCAGCCTCTACCCCTCCCCCATCCCCTCCTCCAAAAGGATAAGAGCTCCCATGGGGAGTCAGCAAAGCCTGGTACATTCAGCTGAGGCAGGACTAAGCCCCCCACCCCTACCCTGAATCAAGGCTGAGCAAAGTGTCTCATCATAGGTGAGACTCCAAAAAAGGCAGCTCACGCACCAGGGTTAGATCCTGATCCCACTGCTGGGGCCCCTCAAACTGACCATGCCACACAACTGTCTCCCGTATGCAGATGGCCTAGTCCGGTCCCATGCAGGCTCCACAGCTGTCATTCTAAAGTTCCTGAGTTCCTATAAGCTTGGTTCAGGGAAACTGATTTTCTCAAAGCTCTTTCTATTTGTATTCCCTACAGTGAATCTTCCAGAATCCTCAAAGATATGGAGGCTTGTGTTGGATATCATTGGTATAGTGGTTAGTTAGCAATTAAATATCTATCTAAATATATTAATTGCAGTGATGAGTATTAAACTATGTTTTTTAGAGGTAAGTGAATTACACCTGTAATTTGTTAAATTTTTATTAAAAACTTCTATTTTATATAAAAAAGTAATTATTTACCTCAGACATAGGAGTTCCCCAGAAATCATTCTGAAATATAGTTTTTAGAGGTGTAGATGGATGGAGATCTTTATTATCCAGTATTGCTGAAACATCATCAAAAACAAACCCACAGAACAGACTGTTCCAGTAGCAGGCAGCAACCACACTGACTAGTAAAGTCACTTCTTTGAAGTTAATATCAGCCATCTTTCCTTCAGGCATTGATAAGCAAAACTGGAAAAACATGCAAGATAAAAGTGAAATAAACAACATTTCCCTCCAAATAATTACAACTTCAGTGTTAAATAATATTTAGAATAAAGATTGAACATTAATGCTTCCAGAGAGAGGATCAGCTTAAATACCATCTATTTTTAAAGAAGAACTCACTGCTTAACTCCATATTTCTAAGGCAAAATCCTTCCTTTTCTATCACTTAACCTTCGGGCCTCTGTCTCTAGCTAACTGGACAGTGAAGTCCCATCAACTGTCACTGGCTGGCTCACTGGGAAGCAGACACACTGGGCATCTTGTGGGAAACCTACACACGAAGCATGAGATTTCCAAGAGTAATGGAGCTTTTATTTCAAAATATTTAAAAATTAATCTAAATCAGATTCTGTAGCTTTGTTGAGCTTTATCAAAAGCCTTGTAAAAGTATTTCATGAGTCCTTACATTCTGGGTTTATGCTAGCAATTCCCTAATCCTAATATTTCTTACTATCTTATTTATGTAATTTGGCTCTTTGGATTTATGAGTTTATGACCTGGATGTAAATAATTTTTCTTTTGCCCACTGCACTGAAGTGTTAAAGATGACAATCACTAACTTAATTAAAAACACAACGCCAGAACCACTGCTTTAGGAAATACTGAGTTCGGGGAATGGTACAGAATAGAAAGGCCTCGAATAACTGGGAAATACAGAAAAAGGAAATCAGCCACATAGTAAATAAGTGAAAAATTATTTCAAACAGAACTAAACCAAGCTGGCCATTTTCTGTTCTGGGTAGTGCCACTAGATCTCTGAGTATGACATTATCACTTGTAAAATGCAGATTACTAGTTCCTAAAAACTGTTAATATCAAAATACCAAATCTGTGCATAAGGTACTTAGACAGTAAGGGAGTTTCAAAGTATGAGGATCTTACTCGAGGAATCACCTAGGTAGGCCAATACAACAGCTGAGTCCTGAGGAGAGAAAGAATGCCTGAAGGACAGATTTCTGCCTAGGGACCATAAGCCAATAGTGGCAGCAGCCCCTGCTATGTTGGAAAAGGAAAAAAAAAAAAAATCTGGATTCTTTATTAGCGCTTTAAAAATAACTACTGATACTTTGTTTTTTATCTACTTAGAATCATTTTGTACTTTTGATTTTCAAGTTGGTAAGAAAATAAATGTCACTGAACCATATTTGTAGCACATTGTTGTAGTAGCGATAAGGACTATTTGCACTATTCACAGAGACAGAAGGTTTGAGATCTGAGATTATCTGCGGGAGTTCTGACCATATCAGAACTGGAATGAGAAAAAAATAAATAAAAATTCCAGGTAGCAATAAAACGGCTAACATGGGCACAGATATAAAATCTGATGTAAAAGGATATATTTAAACTATATATAAGATACAAAATGTTAAAGCATGAAAGTACTTCTATAATCATAAAATGCCTTATACCTACAGAAAACATACAATTCCACCAATAAAGCAGAAAGGACATAGACGTACCCTCTAGGAAGTAGTTTTCAGGTAAAAGAAAAATTATTTAAGGTTTCATCTTGACTCCAGAAGTGACTTCTCATCTCTGAAGGGTATGGATTTGCAGGGTCCTGTTAGCTCACACTCCCAAAAGCTGATGGTGTTTCTAATTCAAAAGATGGGTTGAACTAGCATTTTCTTCAGCTCTTGCCAAATTGGAAACCAGAATATGAAGTATTGTTGTTATAGGAAGGATATACATATACATATATAATGATAAAGACTACTAACAGAGGCCATAGCACATTCTGGAAGCTAGAAAAGTAAAAGGATTAGTAAGCTAATCAATGGATTGCTAAAAAATGATTTCTAAATTGAAAGAGAAGCTTGTGTATTTTGTTCCTAGCACTTCAACAGCAATCACAAAACTGATTCTAAAGATTTTAGGACTAGGAACAGATGAACTGGTTAAAGTTTGGCCTTTCTCCCATCCTAGGCAAAGACCGGAGATTTCTAGAATCTTAAAACATAGGGTCTCTCATATAGGCTACATAGTGACAAGAAAAGAATCTTACTGTAAATAAGGGTTAAATAAGTTTGTCTACATTATTTATCCTGAGACCTCCAGCTCTCTTCTCTAATAGGGCACATAGTTCTCTGCAATTTTTCACCACTGGAAAATTGTAGGATTCTAAAGGCTCACAAAAAGCATGGGGGGGGGGGGTTTAAACCCCAAACCAGGAATCAAAAATAATTTTTTTTTTTGCCATCAATGGTACAATTCAGAATAAACACCCCCACAAAACATAGAAAGAAGCAGTGCTTCAAATTTCTATGAGAAAAAGATTTCCAAAGTAAAAATTTTTATTCAGAAACCCAAATTACACACATGGAAAAGCAGAATAGAGAAGTTTTGAAGTTACTAAGTTTTAGGATGTTTTTCTCTCTCTTAGCCAACTGGGACAATACTAACTAACTAGTATATACTAGTAAACAATAGACAGGAAAAGTGGGGACAGAGCCAGGCCGTGGCAGTCAAATATCTCAAAAGGAAGAAGGATTCATTTTAGCTCATGGTTTCAGAGGCTCAATGAATGGATCCCTGGGTCACTGCTCTGGCCTGGTGGCATGGGAGAACAGAAAGGCAAGAAGGCATCAGGGAAGTAAGCTGCTAAGCTGAAGGTAGGACATAACAGAGAAAAGGGAGACAAAGGATGGACAAAGGGGCAAGTCAAATCCTTTAAATGCATGGAGACCCACATCCTCTGTCAGGCTCCACCCACTAACTTTTACTACTTCTCAAGAGTACACTCAAATATGAACAGATTGCTTATATTATAGAACTCAGGATCCAATTACTGCCGAAAACCTGCTCCTCTGAATATTGCACAAGTATTCATCACATGAAGTTTTGGGGACATTTCATATCAAAGTTACTAAATAGTATAAAGCAGCGACAAAGGAAATATGCAGAATGACAACCATAGCATGTCAGAAGGTTTCTACATAATGATCCCAAGAAGATATAATACCCAGCGCACTTAAAGTGCAATGAATAACTACTGTGTTACTAAATTGTACATGGACACACACACACACACACACACACACCAATCAGGAAAGCAATTCAGGTACCCACTATGAGGTAGATTTTTTTTTTAAGTGTTATATAAAGTTGGAAACCTCTCTCATTATAAAGCGGTAGGTCCCAGATCTGCTAAGACCAATTTACTTATAATGAAAATGTGTTCTTGATTAAAGGTTTTAATAATACAAACATGTTAATAGAAGGTAATGTGGTATATTGGAAATTGACATGCTGGTTTCATAACTATAATGTAGAATATCTGTAATAATATGCAATATAAAATATTAACTAATTTATATATGAATTACAACACTGTGAGAGTTGCTAGTTGAGTTTAATTTACTAACTTTATGAAAGTCAGTGAAGTTGTCATGCAACACATGGCACTGTGATCAACAGAACACATGCTGAATGGTGAACTTTTGGAACTAAACTGCCTAGTGAGTCAGTTTTCAGAGTTTGTGTAAGTACACTCTCGAACGATCACACTTTTGGAACTAAACTGCCTAGTGAGTCAGTTTTCAGAGTTTGTGTAAGTACACTCTCAAATGATCACACTTTTGGAATTAAACTGCCTAGTGAGTTAGTTTTCAGAGTTTGTGTAAGTACACTCTTGAATGATCACACAATGGCACTGGTTTAATGGCACACATTTAAGAATACATTCACATCACTTAATGACATGTAATTACACTGCCAATGTTTGGCTTAAATTAAGCATCTCATTTAAGTACTTATTAAAGATGAATACATTTAAATTATAAATGCAGTTTTTAATTAAAACTATTTAACTACGGTTTTTCTTTTTATGGGTGCTTTTTATTAATTTTGTTGTCTCCCAATTTCATGTATATAAAATTACTCTGACCTCCACTCTCTCTATCTCCTTTCTATCCCTTTTTGTCCTGCTTCCTCCCTACAAATCCATTTCCCCAATTCATGTCTTTTTCTTTTAATGGAGTGCAAACAGATTTATTCAAAGTGTAAAGAACTTAGAGCAGGGAAAGTTCCAAGGGAAACTATCCCTAAGTTTTAAATGTTGTTGATTAAAGAGTTTAGTCTTTCTGAGCTGTTATTTTTTACATGACCTTTTATCATAAACAAAGTAAGATTTTTAGGTTCTAAAGATTAAAGAATACAGAGTATAAAGTATTAGTTTAATAAAGTTGGATAGATCCATGGCATCTATATAGGTAGGCATGATTTAAAAATTATGGTACTTTTAAGCTACAGAAGTTCCATTCATTAATTATAAAGCTCAATTCTACTGTAATCTTCCAAACTCTGAATTTGATTTTAACTTTTAGAACTGTCCTCTTCCCCAGGCTCAGGCTCACTGCAAATGGGATATGATCTGCACGCCTTCATGTAGATAAGGTATTTCATATTCTTGTTACACACACACACACACACACACACACACACACACACACACACACATTTTGTTCTCAATAATTTAAGGTAGAATAAAGAGACAAGGAGACAAAAAGCTGCTTACTTGACTACTATATTCACTCTCATGGGTATTTGAGGGTTCTCTGAAGAACAAAACCCCATATAAGGGCAGGGAATGTAGTTTGGTAGTAGAGTGCTTTGTTATCATATAATGTGCTTTGTTTGTGTGGGTGCGCATGTGCGTGTGCATGCATGCGTGCATGAAAAGATCTCATTACGTAGCCCAGTCTATTTAACTTCAGCACCCTGTCTGGGATTACAGTCATGTACCCTGATGTCTACCTTTGCTGCTACTTAAAAACAAACAAACAAACAAACAAACAAACAAACAAATAATGTTATCAAGTGAAGTGAGATCGGGAATAAATGCAGGGTAGTTAGAAAAGGGCTGGGATAAGAGGCTTTAAAGGCTCCCCAAAGGTCTGTACCATGAAAGGGAGAATTAGTCCTAGTATAGGTCCTAAGTGCAGGTATGCCTTTGTTCAAGGTTTCCTGCAGGACAGAGTTGATGAAAAAGTACTTACACAGTACTCCTTACTAGACAAGGTTCACTGGGGGTATTAGCACATATACATAGGTATGCCGCATAAAGCAAATGGGATGCCCAACTTGTTTGATTACAAAAAAGAGATATCAGCATATATGCACATAAAATCCAACTGTAATCAAAGGTTACTTGTGACCTATATTATAGATATAAATTCAGTTCCTTCAACAAAATTATATTAAGTTCTTCTTGGGGTACTAATCTAATGATAACTTGGGGGAAAGACAAATCTATAGGTCAAAGCTAATTCCTTTCAGTTCTATTTCTTGGGAAATCAACAAAATCATTTAGATCTTCTCTATAGCTTCCTCTGTTTATTACCAACTTGAAGTCTACAGAACTTTTGTATGCAAAGTCTGTGTTTACCCTGAATCATACTTGGCCTTCTAGTTGCCGTATGCTAAAGAGAGACAAGTGTCTGCTTGTTATACATGCATTCCTCTACCTGAACATCAAGTTCCTTCTGGAAAAGTATCTTGAAAAACACCTTTACCATAATAGGCATTAGCTAATAAATTTCATGCATTACTTTAGAAACTAGAGCAGTAAGTGAGCAAAAGACAGGTAATGAATTTAAGTCCATTGGTACGGAGAACAGAGGTAACAATTACTGAAGGCAAGGCTTTCTCACAAAGTGATTTTGGTTAGATAAAACTGTTCATACAAGCCCAGGTTAGACAGAACACAGGTCCAGACAAGCGCTCTTGCAACAAGGCTATTTATAAAACTCTTGCATACAACTAGCTCTTGGGAAAATTTGAAAAATAAAGCAATTCTGATGAAAAACTATCTTAGCCATTATATATCAAGCTGCAGAATCAGAACTTCAGTTAAATGTCCTGACTCACAGTTAGGTAAATAGAAAAAGACCTGGATCACAAAATAATTTGTTTTCTGCTGTACTCTTAGGTCAAGCACAGTGTATTAGCTCAAAATACTGTTAAGACAAATTAGAGGATGGAATTTAAGAAAGCTTAAACTTTAGTTATGATTGTAACTGAGATCTAAAGTCTTAGCTTAGTCAGTTATTAATTAACTACTTCTCTAAGCTTATTCTCACTTCTTAAGAGAATAAAATTTATCAATAGACTACGCACCCTTGAAGATAATACAAATATGAACAAGAAAGAGAGGGAAATAGGGGTACAAAAACAATAAAAACAACACAAAACTAGTAAATGAGTAATAGAAAATAAAGTATGCATTAAAAATCAAGAGAAAATATCAAGGTTTTTTGATTAAAAACAAATTCTTAATATTAATAATCAGTGAACACAGTAGTAGGTGTGCTCAATAAATACTGTTTTATCTCAAGATTTTTGACAAAATGAACATGAAAAATAATTCATATTCTTCAGTAAACAGAGCTATAAAAGCAAAATGTGCAAAATACAATTAAAATTTAATGTTAAAGTTTAAAACAGTAGGACTGAAGTGCAACTATTTCACCTATTTCATAAATACTAGTTTCTAGAATGGCTGAGTGATGTGTCCCCCACATTAAATGAGAAAACTGCGTTTAATCTCCCCAAGCTCCCATCTCTTAGATGCAGAAGCACTCATATTGCTATACCTCTATCAAGAATAATGCAGAAATCAAACAGTATTTGGAAAAAACCAAACATGGTTATCAGTCCTACCAATCTGATCTTTAATATTTGTTTCAAATACCATCATTCTGAGCTATTTCTTGTTTTTCTCAACCACACGGTTTGTACAGAAATTTTCTCAAAAGTAAATTTTAACTGTCTACAGTTTTTTCTTTTAATTTTCTCTCTCTCTCTCTCTCTCTCTCTCTCTCTCTCTCTCTCTCTGTGTGTGTGTGTGTGTGTGTGTGTGTGTGTGTGTGTGTGTGTGTGTGTGTGAATGAGACACACTGTTTCAAACAGAAGCCTACAAGCTTCCTAAGTTACCTGCTGGTGTACAATCGCTACGGAATGGACAAAAGTTGCCTGAGTGAGAAGGTAAACACCCAAGAAGGCGCTTTCACCTAAGATCCCCCCCCCATTGGTACCCAGCAAACGACAGCAGAATGCCTGAACTTGGCATGGCCCCCTCTCTCTCTCCCGCAGGGCTCCCTTCCTTCCATCGGCCTCCACTCCACACTTCACAACCTAATAAGCACTACGATCCTCCAGCCGCTGCAGGGGTGGGGCGGGCGAGCCGAGGGCCGGCCCCCTCCCGATGCTCCACTCACCCCAGATCGGGAACTCGGGGGTGGGGGTGGGGGTCCCCAGCTCCACTTTCCCCAAGCAGGTTAGATCCCAGGGCAGCAGGAAACTTTTCTGTTTGGACTTCCTACTCACCGAAGGCACTCACCGGGAGCCCCGAGCACACACCTGAGCAGCGGGAGGAGTCTTCCCCACCTCTGCAAGACCCCGCCGGCCCTTCGGCCCCAAGCTAGAGCTTCCCGAAAGCTCAAGTGCTCCCTGGATTTCCTCCCGGCCGCTGACCCCGACCTCACCTGAGGGCGGGTCCGCCAGGAGATGGTTCAGGGAAGCCTCTGGGACAGTGGACCGGAGAGGGACACGGCGGAAAACACTGTCATAGTCCGCCACGCCCGGGTAACCCCGGGGTGGCCGCACTTGAGCCGCCGCGGCGCCTCCCGCCTCCCGATCCTTCCCCAGCTTCCCCGGGGCGGCCGCAGCTGCCCGCACTGCACGCCGGGAGAACTCGCTGTTCTCTGCCTCCGAGACTTCCAGTCCCAGCATGCACAGCCGCAAGGCCGAACGGCACTCTGGGAAGTAGAGTCCTCATCCCATGACTCCCCCCCCCCCCCGCCCCTCCCCGCATCCAGACTCGGGCCGTGTCGGGGATGGAGAGCCGTAAAGCTTTTCCCACCGTCGTGAAATGTAGTCGCCCCTGGTATCCGGTGGCCTAGTTCCGGCCTTGGCTGGGCGGGGAGTGGGGTCGCCTAGCAGCGGCCGCCGCTTGGGCTGGTTCAGGAGGAAGAGTTGGCGGGAGCCGGAGTGCGCGCGGACAGCTCCTGGAAGAGAGGCCGGGGCGGCGGCCGAACCCGCAGTGGCGTTCTCTATAGATGAGCGACTGCCGCAGGTTGCAAGGCTTGGTTTAGGTGGGTGGATGCCTGCGAGCGGGAGCAGCTTAGTGTCTTTCACAGGTTCCTAATCCCGAGAGACAGTATGCAGTCTACCTACCCCGTCCTTCTGTCCTCCTGTCCACACAGTGCCTCAGCCTTCTTGATTCGGTTTGGTTCCTCCCACACTTCAACCAGTTCAGTATTTATTTGTACACCTAATAATAATAATAATAATAATAATAATAATAATAATAATAATAATAATCCTCTCGTCCCTTCTCAGAAACGGAGGACGTTTTCAAACTTCCAAACTTCCTGGGAGTTAATATCTTCATTGATGGTAGGGGACTTGGAAGAGGGGACTCCGGGGGTCTTTAGGACTTCGTCTTAGCAAAGTAGTAATAATCTGGCGTGTACATTATCGGGTAGTCTGTGCCAGGTGGACTAATTCTCGAGGCTCTTTGCCTGTGCCTCTGTTTTTCAGATTCAGGAGCCAAAGCTCTTTGTCAACACCCAGAGAGTTAGAATGATCATGTAAACACTGCAATGCCATTTTTTCCTTGAAGATGCTGAAATCCACCTGTTTTGTTGCAGGAGCTGAAGGACAGGGAAAGAATTCAAGATGCCACCCAACATAAACTGGAAAGAATTAATCAAAGTTGATCCAGACGACCTACCACGCCAAGAAGAGTTGGCAGATAATTTATTGGTTTCCTTATCCAAGGTGCTTATTAAATAATTTGTACACAGATGCTTACAGTGTGATGAATTGAAATTGCTTCTTGAAATCACTGAGTGCTACGGCTAGAAGAGGGCTTGTGCTTATGTGCAGGGTATGAAATGGTCCATTTTTTGGTTCCGTAGGTGGAAGTGAATGAACTAAAAGATGAAGATCAAGACAACGTGATCCATCTATTCAGAATTACTCAATCACTAATGAAGGTTTGTACGCAGGAGCTATGTGGACTAACTGTGGAGGGAATGCAAAACTCTATTCCTGTGTAAACTAATCTTTATGGAAGTATTTGGAAGGCCTGTGTCACCCCTCAAAAATGAGTTCTTTAAGTGTAGGTTTAAAGACTGTGGGTTGGATGCATATATGCATAGCAAATCTAGTTCCTGTTCTAAAAACCCTTAAAGAGTATATAGGGGGAAAAGAGTACTTTAAAAAATAACATAAATATAAACAGAGGTTCAAGTAAAAATGCAAAATGTCTCCTCTAGAAGCTAATGGTGAAATGGTAAGATGATTCTAGATTCTTCATAAGTAAATACTAAGAAAGGATATGTTCTTACTCGTTACATTCGGGTAGAATGTAGAAAATCTGTTGCATGCTGTAGACAAACAGATGCTGGGTTGGTAATTTGGGATATACTGTCCAGGGGTTTGAGGCTGTATTTTTTTGTTATTAGCAGCTTAGGATTGAATAAAGGTTTTTGAATCATAATTGATAGATACAGAAATGTGCTTAAGAAGGCAAAATTAAAAGTGCTGTATAGTGCAGCTTGAAGGGGATTGGAGTTGAGGAGCTCCAATTGTAATAAGGAGTTAATAAATTATGTACCAGAATAATAACATTTTCTGGAATAGAAAAAAGGTAATGAAAAATGTTTAAAATAGTGGATATGAAACTTAAAGGAAAAATCAGAGATGATTCACAACCTTGCTGTTCTAGAATTTATAGGTTAAGTATTTATTCAGCAAATAGTTACGACTGTGTGTTAGCCGCTGTGCACCCTGAAGACTGAGATAGCAAATGAAAGGAAATTTGCGTGTTCACTGTTTGTATTACAGTGTTAATGATACAGGTTTTCCTTCCATTTTCATGTTTAGATGAAAGCCCAGGAAGTAGAGCTGGCTTTGGAAGAAGTTGAAAAGGCTGGAGAAGAACAAGCAAAATTCGGTAAACGTCTTGGGAAAAAAACGGTTGTCATTCCATTGCTTACTAGTCAATACAAAATTCATTTATCATGTTCTCCAGGATACATATTCAGTTCTTACTGAAAGATGCTGCGTCCTTCCACCGTTTCAGGGACTGACCTGAGTGGTGGCTAGAGTATGAAGAAAAGACAACCCAAAGACACAGAGAAAAGCTGGGTTCGGGTGGACTAGGTTCTCCATCAGAGAACCTGCAGCACCCCAGAAGCTCAGTGTCTTTATTATGTTCCCTTGAAGACGGGCAGGTTGTGTACAGAGGAACATGAAGTCACGTGATTGCCTACATATAAGCTCGGAGGCAGGGTTTCTGGTATACAGTGGAACAAGGAGGCAGATTGAGCTAATCTCATAGGAGTAGTCTCTGTAGTTGAGCCATAAGCATCAGGGGGAAGAAAGCTGTGGTGGACAGTTTCTGCACAGGCTATCAACATCCACTCTGCTATCTGCCATAGTTCTGAGGCTTTGCCCATTGACTCAAGACTTCACTCACTCAGGTCAAGACATTTCTAGAATGCCTGTTCTATGGATTTGGTATAGTGGTATATATATATTTGGTATATATTTTACACTATTTTATTGACATTCACTTAAAATCTGATTACAGGCAATTTAACCAATTGAAACATTTGTATTTTTTTTAATAGAAAATCAACTAAAGACGAAAGTAATGAAACTGGAAAATGAATTGGAGGTATGTCCCTTTGTATTTCCTTGAGTGTAATTATTATTAATTGTATTATGTTATTTTGAAAATTTTCTATTACTGGATTGAAAAATACAAGGGAAACTTTGTGCTCAAAGTTTGCTGATTGTACAGTGTGCGTTTTTGTGATTTGACTTCTAAGAATTAAGCATCAAATAAAATAAACAGTTACTATCCGAATGGAGCTGTCAGTCTAGAAAACTATCTAGAAAGCTTGGGAGTAATTGAAATGAAGGAGTGTGAGAACTAAATCCGTTGAGGTTCTGAAAAGGTAAGAAGGGATGAGACACAAATGGATCAGTCTTGGAAAGGAGGAGAGAGGGAAAAGGAGATATGTGCAGAACTTGTCTTACCTGTGAGTGTGGCGCTTAGAGGTTGAGAGATTGGAAATGAGGTCATCTGTAAGGTTGAAGGATGGAAGACAGTGAGGTCAAAATTGAGGAATGTCAGATAAACTCTGAAATACCGTGGGGAAAGGACTGAGGACGAGGCATCTAATATAGTCAGATTGGAGTGCTAGTCCTCATTGTTCTGACCTAACTCTGTACTTGGATGAGTTAGTTCATACCTCCTGCTGTATATGAAGCTCCTGGAAAAATGTCCAGCACTTTTAGTAAATATTTTTATAGTAAATGATGGATGAAGGTGAATTGGTTCTGTACTATTACTTAGCCAGACAGCTGATAAAGAATTGAAGAGTGTGTGTGTGGCAGTTGAAGGTCTTGGTAGGAAAGTGGTTGAAGTTTTGAGGATGACATCTTAGCTACATAGGTAGGATGTCCAAATTGGAGTTGGGCCAGGGGAAGGTTGGAGACAGGGAAAGAGAAAGTTAAGGATCTATGGGGTCCCTTGAGTTTGTAAAAGGCAAAGTACAGAAAACAGCTGAGGAAAATGTTCCTTTGGACAGGATCTGTTATGGGCATATGACTGGCAGAACATAGTGAATCAGGAAGCAAGTTATTTTTAATTAGTTATTTAAAGTTATTAAAAAAATAACTCCTGTGAAAGTTATGGGATTGTGGAAATTGCTCGGGCTGATTTCTGATGGAAGACTGAGCCTGGCTCCCAAGGACTTTTAAGCATGGGTAGGAAATTGGTGGCTTGCTTATATTGTAAGTATATTAGAGTGGTATAACTAGATATCTTGTAGAATCAAATCAAGTGCAGATAGAGAGGATGGTAGAAAAATGGCATGATTTGTAGCTTGGAGGTGGCAGGATGGAGGAAACCTAGGAGAATACTAACACCTTTTCTTGATCCTGAAAGAATGAACAACTCCCTGTTGAGAAAGTTCCAAGAGAATCAGTATCCAAAAAGAGCGTACTTGCAGTGTTGTGAGAAAATAAAGAAGGATGTAGTTAAAACCAAAAGCTCAGGATGTAAAATATGTATTTCAGAAGATGCTTTTAGAGGACACAGTGCAAAGCGTCCTGGAGCAGAGAAGATTGAGAAGCATTTGAATAAGAGGAAAGTAGCAGAAACGTGTGGGCAGTGTTCAAAGTTAGGTGACGAATGAGTCAGGGTTTAGTGACGCGGTCCAATAGACAGGAGTATGAAGTAAAATGAATTTAAATGTCAGGAAGGTCTGAAAGTGAGTCTGTCTTGGTTTTCTTATGGAGTAGTTCTAACCAGTCATAGTTCTTTACATTTGTGTTTGTTCAAACTCAAAATTCAATTCTTGAGTTGCACTTGACACAATTCAGCTGTACACATGACTTCTGAACTAGACAGTGGTGGACACGACAGAGAGTGTTTCTGCTATACACAGTGCTGTCTGCTCTAGGTAGTTTGTGGTGTCAGGGAAAGGGCAAATCAAGAGCACCAAGGTGGTTTCTAAGACTCAGGAGCAGTCTTCATAATTCACAGCCTTAGTCTTGAAGCCTTGGCAGTTTAGTCTGTACCTAGGCCTTCGTGACTGTAACAGAGCCTGCAACCAATTTTTCACGGTTTTTTTGGTAGTTCAGGAGAGCTCATGAATTTT